AAAGTAATATGGATATCACCCGATGTCAGATAAATATGATATCACCCTAGTATGAGATGGACGTGACCCTATGGGTGTGGACACATCGCCCGATATGATAATAACATAATATCACCATATATGATTGTTTGTTTCTTTGTTTGTTTGTTGTTTAACGTCGCACTCAGCAATGTTCCGGCTATATGACGGCGGTCTGTAAATAATCGAGTCTGGACCGGACAATCCACGCAATTGGGATCGATGACATGCTTCAACCAAGTCAGCGAGTCTGACCACCCGATCCCGTTAGTCGCCTCTTACGACAAGCATAGTCGCCTTTTACGGCAAGCATGGGTTGCTGAAGATCTATTCTACCCCAGATCTTCACGGGTCTCACCATATATGAGAAGGACATGATACGACCCGAAGTTAGCTGAATATTATATCGGGAAATACCGGAATTTAGACACTCGTGTCGTAAACATAATATGAAATACCGGAATTTAGGCACAAGCGTAAACATAGTACGACATGAACACGAATATAAGGTTCTATTTATTACCGAGGAAGATGTCTACACACAGAGACCAATTTTAGTGTTTACCTATGAGGACAGCAAGTCGCAACGTCTTCAGGTATGACGTTTTTAGTGTGACGTCATTCCGAACTTACGTCACAATAAGATTCAAATAACGCCCACAACGCCGTCAGGGTGACGGAAACAATACCATCTTGTCTCGTGATCCTAGGGCACATGTGATTTTTATTAACCCCGATATGTTTGCCCTCGTGGGTTATAAACCACCCTTCGTAAGATAAACATGCAAGACAGACATGATATACCATGTTATCTTAGCATATCACACAGTAGTATCGGCATCTAATTACACATCATATAAACATGACGGTGATAAATGTGAACATGGCATCATGTTGTCATGAACATGACATGAGACGCTGGGATGGCATGGCAAACGGGGCAGAGTATTCTTATGGGCATGTGCTATTGACGAACGTCTTCTTGATTGCATTAATATTCATGCAGCAGATTTTGAATTCTGGCATTGAACTGTTTCCTGGTTATAAACAAGGATCTGATAGATGTACAGCTGCAACAGCTTGTACAGGGACACTAAGCGTGGACACGTGACGTATCATTTGGACATCCTGAAAACGATTTCTTGTGACAGTTGTTTACATTGACCACATACACAGCAGGTGACATCGATATACATTTTGGAGCTGACAATTGTTTTGAAACGATAAGCAACGGTAATCGATCAATACTTTTCCACACCCTACTTTCAACACGGTGAGTGAGTGAATATTTCTTAACGCCGCATCAGCAATTTCGCAGCAATTCGCGACGACAGGCAACACATTAACGACATAGAGTGTAATGCACTGTACAACAGCGGGAACCATCTAAAACATATCGAGTTATCCGTAGTTCGGGACAAAGGTAAGTGACGACATTACGCCATATTATTGATTGGCGATAAACGATGTATCAAGTTGCTTGTACTAGTCCGGACAGATGCCGATTTATAGTGCTAGCTCACTGGAGACCATGCCGCAGTTTAACATGAATACCCCACTCAGACACAGTATACTGACTCCGAGCCGACCAGTCCTTGTTTTGGCTCCTTAATGCCGAGCGCCAGATGGGATAACAACACATAAGGCGAAGGGAGATAGTCTTTAACGTATATGTGTGTGTGTGTGTGTGTGTGCGTGCGTGCGTGCGTGCGTGCGTGCGCGCGCGCCTCAGTTAAACATGGAAAATCCCACTCAGACACAGTATACTGGCTCCGACCCGACCAGTCCTTGTTTAATGCCCTTAATGCCGAGCGCCAAACAGGGAAACAACAAGTACCATCTTTTAACGTCTTTTGACATGTCGCGGTTGGGATCGAACGACCGACCTTCCGCTCTCTGGTCAGACGCTCTGATCACTAGAACCCGGAGGGTTCGACCATTTTACATTCTTGGGGAATATGTTTAAAAAATTTATCTGTTCTCGAAAATGCTGGATTTACAAAATAAATCTGCCCCAAACAGAAACACGTTCAACCCTTCAACAAATTTCATCAATACAAAATCTATGGCAGTGGCGTTTAATCCCACAGGATATCAGAAACAAGCGTTTTAAAAAAAAATCCAAAACCTCGACATGGAAGGTAACACATTCCTCCGCCACGGTATTTCAGGACGGGGACCTAAATACGACATCGAGGCGATAAATAACATTGATCCAGCGCCCCATGTAATCTGCGTTTCGAGATAACCTCAAACCCAGTGCTGCAATTCAAGTCTGCCAAGGTCTACATGAAACTTAAACTCCATTTGAGATGCGTCGTTGAAGATTATATGCCTATAAACCCAATGTCGGTGTATGACGTTCAGCAAGGTTTGATGCTATCTCCGATTCTCGGGCAAGAAGGGTGAAAACAGTGTTCTTTCTTCAGACAAAGCAGGCAGTTATCACCGACGTGTCAGTTACCTTCTCAAACAGTGGCCTGCCACTGCAACCCCGCTCTGATAAACAGAGGCAGGTAACTCATTAATAACAAAGATTGCATGACGTGAATCATCCCCGCGTTGGTTATATAAACGCTAACATAAGAGATTATCAGCATCTTGTGCAATATGAAACAAATGACAAATAACCTTGGTTGACACCATGTATGCGTATAGGCATATATTTCTTTAATGGCAATTGAAGTAGGTACGAAAACGTGCATTATGGCAGCGTATATATAATTTGTCTGTAAGAGATATTATCATCGCCAGAGAAGGACTGTATGAAAAAGGTTATTTCTTATTTACAAGGTAATTAATTTATTTAAAATGTAATAGAAGAGTATGTTACTAGATAACAGCATGGTACCTCATCACCGTTTTCTTTTCATGTGATCTTTAATATGCAAAAAACAACGAAGTGGAGAACCTCATGTTGCGAGCAGTGCTCCTGTTTCATCAATGATGTCATCCGCGATAAACATTTGCTTTTTGCAAATCATATTTCTGATTTTATACTTATGAACAGGTTATGATCAGTTACCAGGCGTTTGTTTTGATAGTTTTCTAGAAAACCAGTGAAATGGAAGGACAACATTGCTCGGTTGTAAAACGCCTTTCTTTGGACCGAGTTGCCCATTGTTCCAAGACGGAGCATCTTGTCGTACATGGTTGTATCCCTTAGTTATCAGGATCCACTGATCCTGGATTTGTGGATTTGTACTTCAGTTACCGTAATAAGGGAGAAATCAAGGCCCAAAGTGACGCAAGTGGTAGGTGACAACCGCTTGGCTGACACTCATCAGCACTGGTTTAGTGCCGAACGGGAAAGGTTCATAATCGGAACGAAATCTGTGATTGGAAACCACGACCACTGGATAGTGGCAATCATTATTTCCGACGGTTGAGCTGTACGTGTCGTGCAAGGGCAAGAGCTTCACAAATGATACCCATTCAGGAAGGCGAACCCGAGCATCCGGCCTAATGAGCGAAAGCTTTCGGCACGTCGTTCTCTGGTCTTTATTGAACAATGCATTTACCATGAATAGTCACTGAAAGAGTTTGTCTTATGATTAAATTGTTAACCCATGATTGGGAGAAAGTCCCACATCCCCCCAACCATCCCCACCGCCCACACCAACATACATCCCTACACCCCACACCATCCCCATAGGTACGTGTCTGAGGCAGCTAGATATCATGTATAATACTTATACCACCAGAACAAAATATCCATTTATAGAAAACAGTAGCGCTGTTTCGACAAACAAAGAAACACGTTGCCGTGGCCTAAACATGATACTGAAGAGGAGACTGACATGATCCCTACAATTTACCGTAATCACACAATAAATGACGATAATGATGACGTTTACACGACGTCAAGTATGACGATGCTTTTACACACGACGCCATTAATTCGAATATAAACAATAGTAAACTGTAGATAAATTTGTGTTACAAGGACGTGGGGCAAAACATACACGAACGTCTTGCTGAATTTCCTGGGAAAATACTGATTGAGAAGTAAAGAGAAGCTCTTTGTTTATCTTACAGTAAGTAATGTTGACCTGGGGTGTCTCTGGAGAGGTGGTGATATCTACAAACGGAGATAAAACTACCTTAGAAAAACCCTGGAAGTCTTGGAAGAAGTGACTTGACAAATCGCTGGCATCACACCAAGTCATCCTGGAGTTGACTTAATCCAGGGCCTCTTTATCAAGAACTGTTCTTTCCGCTAAAATTAGGTGAACACACCTTGACGATGGTTGAAGCTAGAAGTTCTGAGTATGTCCTATTTAAAGTCAGACTCCCCGAGTGCTAATGAGTCAGATTTAATCATAACTTCACAAAATATGAAAGCACAGCAGGGACCGCAGAGGGACCGCAAAATAAAATTATGTGAAGGTTTTCGAGCGGAAAAGGGAATGTGTTTTGGCTACTAGAGCTGATATATCTGGCTGGGGGGTGATATATCGAAATGGAAAAGGGATAACTGTTTGATAACAAAATCTGCTCTATGTTCTGCAACATAGATAAATTGTTTACTATTCGCCTGGTCGCGAATTTTGAATACGACACACATGACTATATAGTTACACGTTTTTGAGTGTCGGGAATAACTTTTGTTAATGATCTATGATCTTATCTATCATATGTAAACAAAGGTTTTGTTTATCTATCTATCATATGTAAACAAAGGTTTTGTTTATCTATCTATCATATGTAAACGAAAGTCTTTTGAAGAAAAACACATTTGTTTTTTAATGACGTATTCAGCTTTTATATGATCATTTTGATGCACATTGTTTATAGAGAAGAAGTAATAATAGTGCATTAGTTCATTAAACAAACTATTTCCAAAGTTATCGACCTCCCCCGCCACTGGCCAAACCAGTGAGAATTGCACCAAAGACGAGACACGAGAAAGACTGCTCTTCTTCAGACCTTCAATGACCCGACACAAAATAAACATGGACGATTTACATAAATCAACATACCTGCTTATCTTCACAAGAAATGTGGTAAGAAAGGCACTATAATTCCAATCTGATGAAATAACTTCTTTCTGTGTTGACGGAAATACTATTCCGAAGATCTTCCGTCCCAATTCGCAGCTGTGCAGTTGAACTGGATCGTAATTTTCTCTCCATACATCTGAGCAGAGGCCAAAACCCGGAACTCGTCTGCGATCGTAGTAGCAGACGACATTCGATGCTGCTCCCGAAGTGTAACTTGATCGTTTTGGACGAGTATATTAATTTCAAAGGGGTTTCAGGTCGTACCGCGGAATGCATTCGTCCCGTTTTCTGACTGATGAAGAACGTAGACAGATGCTTCGCGGGGGTGAGGGATGCTATCGACTGTAAGTAGTAAGATGGAAATCTAATCTGCCGCCTTGAGATGCTGGTTACAAATTTAATCAGACAAATATGATCAAAGAAAGTCCATTCGGCCTACGTCTGAACAACATTTTTACGTCTGTTTGGTTTTGAAATCTGCAACTCCGACCTGTCGTTTTGAGATGCTAACGTTTGAAAGAGATATGCTTTCCTTTCTCTGAAATAACACCCCAGTTTAAACTTCCGCCATTATCAGTGACAATACCACTGCAACATCTCCCCCCTTGTGTTTAACTTACACAAACACATGCTAATGATATTGGAATTAATTATTAATGGATCATAACGATACTGAGAGGTCACATTTATTTTAGATGACGAATTGAGGTTCTTCAAACACGTATTATTATTTTTATCACAACAAATTAGGAAAGTGAATATCAACCTGTAGCCATAAACTCCTTAATGTAAGGTGTGACGAGTCGGGTATTTTTGAGAGCATGGGTCACAGGGGCTTGTAACGCAAAAATTAGACGCAATATATATACGGTCACTAACGGGGTCACAGTAACACACACACACACACACACACACACACACACACACACACACACACACACACACACACACACACACACATATATATATATATATATATATATATATATATATATATATATATATATCCGCTCTTTTCTACCTACCGCTATAATGTTTCTTCACATCATTTTACATTTAGCTATTAACAAACATAAATATTCAAACATTTCCCTCCGTAATATTGCTGGAATACTAGCATTGCTAAAAAGCGACTTAAAACAATACTCACTCGCTCACTTAAAGTCTTAAGTATATTGTCTATCGACAATTAGTGTGAGGGTAATTTTTATATTTTATTATATATGGTTTGTTGTGTTGTTGTTGTTGTTGTTTTTGTTTTGTTTTTGGGGGGATGGGGGTGGGTGGGTTGGGGCAGGGGACACTGTTGCCTAAGGTGCCAATCTGTCTGTCTGTCTGTCTGTCCATACATACACTTTATTAATTGACCGGATTCTGATATTCTTTACATTAACAATGACAGTTAAACCCAAAACATCAACAACCTGCTCAAAAAACTCCTAAGAAACTTTTCTGTTCAAACCAGGCTTCCATACATGTTTATAAGGCGCAACAAGTACTTTGTCATGTACATTTTTTAAGTCGCAGCAATTCACTGTTTATAGTTGCGTCCCTTGGCGTGCCACAAACCCATGACTGTCGGTTCGAATTCCCGGATTCTCTCTGATTATGTTTCCAGGTTTGTCAGCACCATATTTTATTTTTTTAGACTTACCCTTGATTACCCATAATCTGTAGCAGGTTTTTAATAGAGGGAAGGACAAAGCTGCCTACGTAATTAATGATTATTTAAACATGAGATACACTCAAACTGCATACTGCCAGAAATCTAGTATAGTGGGTTCGAATCCCCGTTCCCGCCGTGATATTGCTCGACTATTGCTAAAAGCGGCGTAAAATCAGATTCACTCATTCGGATCCCTGTTCGCCCTGATTTTGTTTCTTTGTTTGTCAGTACCGTACCTCTGCTCGTGGGTTCCACCATAACGGTAAACATCTGACACACGCATGACGTGCTGCCTCCCTCCCACATCAAGCCGTGTTCAAAGCACAATGCGGCACTTTAGACAACAGGGTCGCATGTGCCCTTACTGAAAAACTATCAACTCAAAGAAATGAATAGTCTTTCAAACATTCCAGCTAAAGAAATTGTTTTTACATATAACGGTACCCATGGTCAATTGCAAGTGGGCATTCGAACATCTTCATGTGACAAACGGCCAGTTTAACCGTTAGGCTACAGGCACGTTCTTTTCAACTGGGAGCAACAAGGCATCACTAGCCCAAACCTTGGCATCGCAATGTACAGAGTTGTGTCCCTTGGTCACAATGAGATCCTAATGGTTTCGAAACCATATTTCTCCCCGATTATGATCCCTGGTTGTACGTCACCCTGCCCTTTGGTTTACACAACAGCGATTAACGCCTGATAGAACTGACGCACTGTTCGTATTCTTTATTCAGTAGGGGCGGTCGGGTAGCCTAGTGGTTAAAGCGTTCGCTCGTCACGCCGAAGACCCGGGTTCGATTCCCGACATGGGTACAATGTGTGAAGCCCATTTTTGGTGTCCCCCGCCGTGATATTGCTGGAATATTGCTAGAAGCGGCGTAAAAACTCACTCACTCACTCTGGAAGTATTATTGCACCTACAGGTTTCCATATGTGAAGAATGTGAGCTAGAGCGGAATCGCGCCATTGCCGAACTAAATTTATCTGGAATTACAACAGACAAGTAATAAAGAGCATAATGATGCATCATTGCCGAATGCCAGTCCTGGTCATAAGCATAAAGCCGATTTCAAACGTGTTACAAATTCAGAAATATATATATAAATATATATAATTAGTTTAAACGTCACCATGACATTCCCAAATATACGCGTGGTGAACTGTTACACCTGCCTGTATACCCAACTCACTCACTCACTCACTCACTCACTCACTCACACACTCACTCACTCATTCACTCCGTCCTTCACTCACTCACTCACTCACTCACACACACACTCACTCGCTCACTCACTCACTCGTGGGAAGGAACGTTTCACAACCGTCGGTTATCTGAGGCGATTCGGAAACCTTCATTTGTACAAACGAGGTTCCGGTTTTTTCTTGTAATGAAAATAACAACTGTTAATGTAATTTGTAAAGATACGCCCGTGATGCTAAACGAGAATACAGACGTGAGTTAAACGTGGTAACGTCTGTATTTGTGTGGAAAGTGGGAAATAGACCAGGTTCACTCTATACGCTTTAACTTGTTATTTATAAAATCTTCTTAAATAATGCTTCTAAAACACAAATAAAAATGCATGCACTGCTCAGATAACGACGTACATACATAATATTGGACCCGTGAAGGGGTTAGAATGTCTTCAGCAAACCCATGCTTGCCGTAAAAGGCGATTATGCTTGTCGTAAGAGGCGACTAACGGGATCGGGTGGTCAGATACGTGCTGGCATACGGCAGGGGTTTTCTCTCTAGTCTCTGTTACCAGAGCGGGGAGGGTCCATTACAAAAATATGGTAGCATGTCGTATATTTTCTCTTCACTCTGTTATAGCTACCGCTATAATGTTTCTTCACATCACTTAAAATTTAGCTATTAACAAACAAAAATTTTCAAACATTTCCCTCCGTAATATTGCTGGAATACTAGCATTGCTAAAAAGCGACGTAAAACAATGATCACTCGCTCACTTAAAGTCTTAAGTATATTGTCTATCGATAATTAGTGTGAGGGTAATTTTTAAAAAAAAATTATATTTGGTTTGTTTTGTTTTGTTTTGTTTTCTTGTTTTTGTTCTTTTCGGGGGGCAGGGGATACTGTCGCCTAAGGCGCCAATCTGTCTGTCTGTCTGTCTGTCCATACATACACTTTATTAATTGACCGGATTCATATATTTTTTACATTAACAATGACAGTTAAACCCGAAACATCAACAGCCTGCTCAAGAAACTCCTAAAAACTATTCTGTTCAAAACAGGCTTCCATGAGGCGTACTTTGTCATGTACATTATCCGACCAGCCGCTGTCGTCACACTTAGATGCTATCATGTACATATCCACACTGCCGTGGCTGAACGTATCAAGGTGGTCAACAAATAAACGTTTCCAACTTCATTCGACACGTTGTATTAGTATTTATCATTAATTTTTAAATTAATGTTTGGTTGAGTCCAGTCAAAACGATTATTCCCACATGACCACACACATATGATTGTTGATCGATATTTGTGTCAGTGCCGTGACGTTATTACGACTATCAAGATCAATGTGAACATATGTTGTCTGAACTTCATCTCAGATGTAATGGTATTGTCCTCAATGTGTTGTACTGTCGCTGTCGTATATCTTTGTTAAAGGCGGACTCTGCTCGAACAAATTGGCAGTCCCAGCAAATTTCATTCAACTCTTAAAACACCACTCTGTCTGCTGACTTTAACGTCTGAACTGCTGTGCAAAAGAATGTATCCATGTTTGATGGTGGCTAAAATTGAAACAAACTAGAAATGGTTATTCATGGAGATATTACATGCGTCATATCAATGAATATCTGGTGACGTGCACATGACGTCACAAGGAATAGGGGTTCGTAAGTCTAGTCTATACACTGTACTTTCTTCAATCGAACACTTAGTCAATGAAAACATTTTTTTTAAATAATATTTTAAAAAATCTTCAAAAGAACCTCTCCTCTTCCGCTGTTTTCAATCAAGCTGTTCAATCAAGCAAACTAGACTTGGTTTAGTTTTATCTAGACTTGCCTACGCTTTTATTAAAAATAGATACCTAAAAAATATAAATGGCGCAGGACTATACTTATTATAGCCCGGCAGTTTAGTCTTCTGATAATAGTTAACAGCCCGTAGAGCAAAGTACATATTTAAGCATTCATTTTGTCTATGAAACCTATGATTGTGGGCTCGAATCCCGGTTCGCCCCGATTATGTTTCTAGGTTTGCCAGCACCATACCCGTGCTCGTTGGTTTCATCGAAGTGGTAAACGTCCGAGACCTGCATCACTTCGGGCTTTCCTCCCACATTAAGCTGACACGCCGCGATATAACTGGAATACTGTAAAAAGCGGCGTTAAACCAAACTCACTCACTCACACATTTTGTCTATGATAAGACAAATACATATTTCATTTCACAACTGTATTTCTAATTTTCTTTACAAACAATACTTCAAAAATTAATTCTTAACATTTATCAATACACAGCTTGGATAATATGTGTAGTCACTTGTTGGGGAATATCAATATACGCTATGTATACACACGGCACGAGTATTCTAAACGCCTACATCATCCGATGCGGTTACGGTGGCTGCTTGATCAAGTACTCGACCTTAGGGGAGTCGGTGCAAGGTTAATGCGGCAGTACGCAGACTTTGAGCTGATGCTTTCAGCATAGTTCGAGTTACAGCAAACATTACCGCACGCTGTATAACAACTGCACGTTGATCAAATATATTTAGAACAGTGCAGGGGAGACAACCCTTTAATGAAATATTTCCTATTTGGCGCGGTGAATCAGATGAGATTAACTTGTCAGCTTATGTGGGAGGAAAGCTTGAAGTGATGCAGGTCTTAGACGTTAACAACTTTGATGAAACCACGAGCATGGGTATGGTGCTGATGAAACTAGAAACATAATCGGGACGAACAGGGTTTCAAACCCACACTCATAGGTTTTTGGCGTACCCAAGGGACGCAACTCTGCACAGCGAATTGCGGCGCCTTAGACGATATAGTAGTGAATGGACTTATTAAAGACTGTTTGATGTTACTGCCATTGTAACTCCTTCGTAACTGTGTCGAACTCGAAGGGACCTGCGAAAAAGTTCGACTTATATAAGTTTTCGACAGATACCAAAAGAATAATATCGTTTGTGAATTACGGTAGATTACAGTATGGAAACAATCATTTAAAACAAGTAATAACGCGTTTAGATAAATAAAAAAAACATCCAACAGCGATGGATAGGCATGCAAGTTAGGTCAACATATTTTCAGATCGACTGACGTGGGCAATGTTGTACCTGCATTTGAAATTTAGGGGGTCATAAGGGAAAATTCGACACATCCTATTCCTCCTATTAGAGGGCAATTCTTTTTTAAAGTGACGGAATTCGACAATCAGTTCAATACAATCGAAACTCCGGTATTCAACTGTACTTTGAGACGTGTATTTACTTAAATTATAACATGACGATTGCAGGATTACACTTTTCTTTATATGTTATTGTACAAGTGTGGTTAACTCAAACAGAAGGTCGGTTCGAATCCCGGTTCGCCCCGATTATGTTTCTAGGTTTGTCAGCACCATACCCGTGCTCGTGGGTTTCACCGAAGTGGTAAACGTCTGAGACCTGCATCACTTCGGGCTTTCCTCCCACATTAAGCTGACACGCCGTGATATAACTGGAATACTGTTAAAAGCGGCGTTAAACCCAACTCACTCACTCACTCAAACAGAAAGGGTAATATTTGTTTCAATCACGGCACCCTGTGTCAGTTAAATGAAGGAGGAAGCCTGAGGTAAATAAGGCGTACATATAACACAAAACCCACGTAAACGGGCTGACAAACTAAGAATCATAATCGAGTTGCAGCTGGGATTCGAACCCATGATCCCAGGATGCTAGAAGATAAGGGACACAACTCTGGTCTATATGCCACATTCTTCTGTAAATAACATTGAATTCCACCAGATGCATCATAGGTTGCTCTGACAGTGACCACACACCGGCTCCTAATAGAGGAACTACGGTAAATCTAGTTAGACCCGTTTTCCACATGATAACACGCAGCAGACTGTGCGATCCAAGTGACATTACATTCCATCTTGAAGATGATAAGAGGGATTCATGCATGTGTATTAACAGAAGATATACATGTGAGCATCGGAATGTTAGGACGTAGTTAGTTGATGAACAAAATATACAAGAAATATGTTCAGGACGAAATGACACGACAGTAGCAATCGTGCCCGGTGAGGTGAGGTGAGGTGAGGTGAGGTGAGGTGAGGTGAGGTGAGGTAAAATGGGGTTTAACGTCGCGTACAAGATTATTGCACTTATATAGCGACGTGTGCATGCACGTGTGTGTGTGTGGCTGCTTGTACTAGTCCGGACTGATGCCGATTTATAGTGCTAGCTCACTGAGATACCATGCAGTTTAACATGAATACCCCACTCAGACACAGTATACTGACTCCGAGCCGACCAGTCCTTGTTTTAGCCCCTTAATGCCGAGCGCCAGGCAGGGTTACAACAAGTACCATCTTTTAACGTCTTTTGGTATGACGCGGTCGGGGATGGAACACCGGACCTTCCGCTCTCCTGGCGGACGCTCTACCACTAGACCACGGAGGCGGTCCAATCGTGCCCGAGTGAGTGAGTGACAGGCATTGGTGAGTGAGGTCAATGCTGCTTTGAACAGTGTTTGGGTGATGTCAGGGCGTGAGGTTAAAGAGGAACTAGGTATGACTCAAGTATATCACCACACTGAAGTGGCTTTAATTATTTGCAGCCTCCAGTTGTATGATGGGTATTAAACTGTTGTTGTTGGCTGTTGTTTAACGCCGCACTCAGCTATATTCCAGACGGCGGTCTCTAAATAATCGAGTCTGGACCAGACAATCCAGTGATTGACATCATGAGCATCGATCCAAGTAATTGGTATACTATGACATGCATCAACCAAGTCAGCGTGCCTGATCACCCGATCCCTTTAGTCGCCTCTTACGACATGCTTAGTCGCCTTTTACGGCAATCATGGGTTGCTGAAGACCTATTCTACCCCGGATCTTCACGGTTTGGATATCAAACTAACAGTTAACGAATACCCGTATTACATAAAGACGCTGTTTCAGCTCAAACAATCTAATGATATCGTCTAGGATCGGGGATAATAGTCCTTCTTTTAGTGTAATTTGATTGGACGGTTAATTTTAACGATGGTTACAAATATGGTTCAAACCCGTGCCAGAATATTTATCCTAACAGAAGAGAAATATAATACCATGGATTATCGAGGATGACAAACCGCCCGCTTACGTTTATCCAGAATATGCCTTATAAAACTAAACCTTGTTAAGAAACCTCGGTGAAGCATCAGTTGATTTGTCTGGTGACTTGTGGATAGTCATTCAGATTTTTTGAATTGATAAAATATCACGCGATAACATCATTGCGTGGTTAATAAGAGCGTTATTGAATCGCTATCAACCTCGGTCTGTATTATCAGCGCTTCGACTTTACACTCCGCAGCAACAATAGTTGGTTGCGCCCACGCCCCGAAGATATATAAATGAACTCAACGGATATTACTGGGTCATGGCGAGAGGTAAGAAAATACAGACTTATTGCTAATATTTACATGATTTGCAAATAATTAAGATACACACATCTTTCGTAGTAGAACATCGGTTAATTTGAACACATTCCACACCAAAATCAGGACAATGATACATGCATCTGTTGTGATATTTATTTTATTTTGTAAACATTTTGTTTATGACCTGTATGTGTATTCAATGTTTATATTAATATAATTAATATGTGTAATTTGATGTGACTTATTTTGAGGAAGTATGTTTTCTTTTAAGTTATCTGTTTGACTGCGTTACTGTTCCTCGTCGACTTCCGGGTCAACAGGTGTGTTTCCGGCCAGCTTGATACGACCGTGTGTACTCCGAATGTGAATGATTCAGGTATGAATCATGTTTTTGTTTACAATGATTAATTCTGCCCACGTGGTGGATAATTATCTTATAATTCATGTATTAGATACTGCATACAGTAGACTAGGTGTGATACACTTCCGGACAAAAGAAAGCATACACTTCAATATTCGATTTGACCAGAACATTGCAAACGTTATCGAAACGTAGCCGAAAACAGTCGCCGAAACACGGCAAGACATAAGGCCCAAAACACAACTATGACACCTGTTCCAAATAAATCACCATCGAGTAACCATTTCTTGTTTGTTTCACTTTAAGCCACCATGAAACATGGTCGGCTAAATCGCTTATAGAGTTGCGTAGTTTTATCGTAGGTTCGAATCCCTATGTCCGAAGCAGCGACTGTATCTCGTCAGCCTATATATAGTCAGGTCTGTACCACGCAAACTAGTGACTGAAGGCATGAGCATCAGCCCACGCCATCTAGGTAGGATGCAACACAATCAGCATATCAGAGTCTGACTACTCCCCTCTCCATTCTCCAACTACAAGCACAATACACTGGAGGCCTATTCTGAACGACAACACCCACGGGACCCTAGTGGATAGAGGTGGGGGAGTGGTAGGGGTGTGGAGGAGCGTAAGGGGTTGGGGAGTGGTATGGGTGTGGAGGAGTGTAAGGGGTGGGGGAGTGGTATGGGTTGGGGTGGGGTAGTGATAGAGGTGGGGGTGTGGAGGAGTGTAAGGGGTGGGGGTGGGGTAGGGGTAGGGTAATTGTAGGCGTAGTTGTAGAGGTGGGGAGTGGTAGGGGTGTGGGATAGGGAGGGGTAGGGGCGTGGTAGAGGTGGGGGAGCGGTAGGGTGGGAAAGTGGTAGGGTGTGGCGTGGGAGTGGTAGGGGTAGTTGTAGAGGTAGGGGTGGGGGAGTGGTAGAGGTGGGGGAGTGGTCGGGGTGGGGAAGTGGGAGGGTGAGGTAGAGGTGGGAGACGGTAGGGTTGGGAATGTGGTATGATGTGGTAGATGTGAGGGTGGAGGAGGTGTATTGGTTTGGGGGGAGGGGTGGTAGGGTGGGGTCGCTGAAGTGGTAGAGGTGAGGGTGGGGGAGTGGTAGGTGTGTGGGAGTGGTGGGTGTAAGGGAGGTGGCTTCGAGTGATTGCCACAGCTGGAGTTGAAGCAGGATATGTGTATATCTAGGTGGGCTTGAAGCGATGATGGTTCAGAATGGTGTAAAAGGTTTTGTGAGATGAGGGTTTTATGGGAACTGGTGCGTGGGTTGTCCAGCGTTTGAGGCGACTGAGTACGTGAGTGAAAATACCGTTCAACGGCGCATCAGCAATGCTGCAGCCATTCGCGGCAACGGTAACAATGAACAAATGGGACGATACTACAATTACCCATGATCATTAATCTGCAAACTTAATACCCAAGTTTTATTTTAGATGCTTTAATCCGGATTATGGGGGTTAAAGGAGACGATCATCTCCACGTGAATGTGATAATCCTATAAGGTGTACTGCTTTGTTTCTAAGCCGGCGCTCTGCCGAAGCTAGCAGATACCTACCTAGCCCGAATGGAATGGAAAGTCATTGAGCAGAAGAAATGGGTGTACGTGGAAGAATTCTTTGACGGCCCGGGGAACCGCGCGGCCCTGAGACTGACCGGGGTGTACGACCCAGGGAAGGTCGTGCTCTTTATATCAGACTTTACAACCGACGAATACTTCACCATACAAGGTATTACATTGGTTTTAAAGTACACATGGAAATGAAAAAAAGGATTTGCTAGTTTTATCTGTACAAAATGTGCTCAATACAAAATGTACTTTACAGGAGGTAATTTGTAGGCACTTTCAACATTCAAAAATAAAACTAAGTCCAAATTGACATGGCAGAAACAGGCTATAGGCGTTATGCAAATTAGCCTGGAAAAAAGTTATCAAAACAACAATAAAAATAACAGCTATGTTTATGTACATAATAATTATGACATGTAAGTTGTTGTTTGAGAAGGGAATATGTTACTTTTGAGGACATCCAGTATTTGTAGAGAACAATTATTTTTATGTTAAACCTGTTGGGTTCTTTCACACAAACCCAGCGAAACCTCATCAAACAAGCGTTACCCGCGTTATGGATGGGTATGACTTGAACAATGTATTTTTGTCATAAGCAGAAACCACATGTTCTTGCAACACCGAGTATGGATATATTTCTTAACTTACTTAAATAATACAAAACACAATACGCATGTATATTGCACAAGAGTGTATGTTTCTCAGGTGAGTGAATGTTGTTAAACGCAAGAGCCTTTCCATGGCTTCCGTTTTTATACCGTTCTTTTATTTCAGATGGTACGTGTGCAGTGACGAAGCTGTCTGCCAGCGATACTTACACGTTACCCTTCCAAAACGTCAATGGATCAGCAGGTGTGTATGTGTCGACGTTATTGAGTGAGTGGGTGAGTGAGTGAGTGGGTGAGTCAGTCAATCCAGACCACTTAGCTATCTCGTGAAGATTCTCGTGGTCTTCAGCAACACATGCTTGTCATAAGAGGCGACTAACGGGATCGGGTGGTCAGGCTTGCTGACTAAGTCGATGCATGTCATCGTTTCCCAACTGCGTAGATTGATGCTCATGATATCAATCACTAGACTGTCTGGTTCAGACTCGTTTATTTACAGACCGCCGTCATATAGATGGAATACTGCTAAGTGCGGCGTTAAACAACAATTAAAACGTAACTGCGCTGTCCGTATTGACAGGGTGTCGTTATAAAGAGTGTCCATATGAATGTTTGCCTACCTTTTGCAGCAGAGGTCCTGAGCGTGCACAGAGCGATGAAGTTCGGTCAGTCCTACAATGAGAAATACGTGGGTACAGCCGCAGTGAGAAGCATCTCGGCGCTGCACTTTGAGAGTTGCACCTACCGCAACGATACAAAACAAACGATCAAGATCGACTACTACTTCTCAGGTAAATTCATATGACAGCTTTTATTTGTAAAGAATCATATTATGACCTCAGAAATCAAGTACCAACACGTGTTCACCTTTTGTGCGATATGTCACATTTATTCGATTCGATTTGATAACTCTTAATTATTCATGAGTATCAAATCAAGTATAGTGTTGTACTCAACGACACAGGCCCCGCACAAAAGGCAATCCACCTGTTCATTTATACATTCGATGTCATGACACAGTATCAGGTTTCATGTTTGTTATTCAAGACGTTACCTGAATATAAGTGAGTGAGTGAGTGGGGTTTAACGCCGCTTTTAACAGTATTACAGTTATATCACGGCGTGTCAGCTTAATGTGGGAGGAAAGCCCGAAGTGATGCAGGTCTCAGACGTTTACCACTTCGGTGAAACCCACGAGCACGGGTATGGTGCTGACAAACCTAGAAACATAATCGGGGCGAACCGGGATTCGAACCCACAATCATAGGTTTCTGGCGTGCCTAAGGGACACAACTCTGCACAGCGAATCGCGGCAAAGCAAATCCTGTTTTCTTGCTGTTAAACGTTTTGTAATTTTTTGTGCTAAATATGTAACTTTACAATCAATGGTGTTAAAGATTATAGTGCTTTTCGCAGATTCCCGTCGAAAGCACGACGTTATATAAGTGCAATAATCGTCAACGTTAAACCCTAGCTCACCTCAATGGACGAGACATCTGTATGACATGCACTTATTGGTTGAAATATACAGATAACATTCGAGGGAAAACAGGGGCGGTCGGGTAGCCTAGTGGTTAAAGCGTTCGCTCGTCACGAGACCCGGGTTCGATTCCCGACATGGGTACAATGTGTGAAGCCCATTTCTGGTGTCCCCCGCCGTGATATTGCTGGAATATTGCTAAAAGCGGTGTAAAACCATACTCACTCACTCACTCTAAAACAAAATAAGCTCATAGATATAATTGATATACCATTAATCTGTTAATCCTTTCCTCTATAGTCATCTATAGTTCAGATAGATCACACACCCATGAAGATCCGGGTTAGAATTGTTCATGCAGCTTCACCTTCATGTGGAAGGAAGCCCATACTGGATACAGATCTTAGACATCTGCAACTCAGCACATATCTAAAGATCCGGGGTAGAATAGGCCTTCAGCAACCCATGCTTGCCGTACAAGGCGACTATGCTTGTTGTAAGAGGCCACTAACGGGATCGGGTGGTCAGGCTCGCGGACTTGGTGGATGCATGTCATCGATCCCAATTGCGTTGATCGATGCTCATGATGTCAATCACTGGATTGTCTATCCAGATCGATCGACTCGATTATCTACAGACCGCCGTTATATAGCTATTGCTAGGAATATTGCTGAGTGCGGCGTTCAGGAACAAACAAAACAAAAAACATATCTGCATTTGTGTTAACGACATGTACATTGCATGAACATTTCGCTATGACCACAAAGAAAACTTTGAAATTAGTCAGTTTACATTGTCTTCAGTGCGACTTACCTATTGTAGTCAGTGATACGTTCTTCCCCTCCGATGTCAGCTGGTATGGCTGTATGCGCCTGTTACAAAGCCTTGCGAATGAGGTTAGATAATGGCCGTCAATTGGTCGATTATAAACTGGAGCCACAATGCGCTGTGAATGAACAAGTAGCGAAGTTGAGCGGATGTAATTGCTTCTGAAATAAACATCGGAAATAGCTCGCGCCAGCTATTTCAGTAGCTACTGACACTGCCTGCTTTGTTTCGGTATGGAATACAGACACAGTTCATGACTTGTGGCTGCATGGCACCATGTTTCAATATTAATATAAACTGCCTGGTGAAAGAAAGTATACACTTGAAAATTGGATTTGAAGAATAATTACATGCGTTATCAAAACGTTATTAGGTTAAAAACAGTCGCCGAAACGCTGCAAACATACGATCCAAAACACAACTATGATACCCGTATCAAATACATCCCCATTGAATAACAACCATTTCTTGTCTGATTCATTTTAGCCACCATCAAAAATGGGTGAATTTTTGTCCGTTTTGACCTCAGTGTTTGGGGGCGGTCGGATAGCCAAGTGGTTAAAGCGTTGGCTCGTCACGTGGTATGGTATGAATGCATGGTTCGATTTCCATATGGGTACAATGTGTGAAGCCCATTATTGTGTCCCCCGCTGTAATATTGCTGGGATATATATCTAAAAGCGGCGTAAAACCATACTCACTCACTAACTGATATAACTATGACATGATGGTGCACGAGAAGCGTTTCGTCACTGTACCATTTCGACTCTTCCTATTAAATGTGGCTGTTCGACACCCAATCCCCCCCCCCCGTCACACCCATTCCCCCACACACACATGGGATAAATGTGTGAAGCCCAGTTCTGGTGTTCCCCGCCGTGATATTCCTGGAATAGTGCTAAAGGCGGCGTAAAAGCCATATTCACTCACTCACTCACTCTTAGCTCTGTTCATGGCCATCCATAAACACCAGTAAACATTGGTGTCCATATCAGGCCGTCCAGTTCATTGGAACTAAACATACCACATTCGAAACAACAGCTAAATTTGACATCAAAATGTTACTATGATAAACGACGTTGCGTCCATGTCTGGCTGCAGATGGTGCGACACGAACCACCCCTGAAATATTCAATATTATGGAATTTATGTGACAATTTGACAATTTGGGTTCATGTCTTGTCGAAATATGGTAATGTTCATATATCTAAGACAATATCAGACTTAAAGTTGTGTTCATGTATGATTAAAGTACGGTAACATGACTATATGTGACAATAGAACTCGGAGTTGTGTTCATGTATGATTAAGGTATGGTAATATTGACTATATGTGACAATAGAACTCGGAGTTGTGTTCATGTATGATTAAGGTACGGTAACATGACTATATGTGACAATAGAACTCGGAGTTGTGTTCATGTATGATTAAGGTACGGTAACATGACTATATGTGACAATAGAACTCGGAGTTGTGTTCATGTATGATTAAGGTACGGTAACATGACTATATGTGACAATAGAACTCGGAGTTGTGTTCATGTATGATTAAGGTATGGTAATACTGACTATATGTGACAATAGAACTCGGAGTTGTGTTCATGTATGATTAAGGTATGGTAATACTGACTATATGTGACAATAGAACTCGGAGTTGTGTTCATGTATGATTAAGGTATGGTAATACTGACTATATGTGACAATAGAACTCGGAGTTGTGTTCATGTATGATTAAGGTACGGTAACATGACTATATGTGACAATAGAACTCGGAGTTGTGTTGTGTTTGGCTCCAGACGGCAAGACGTGGACCACTCCTTCCGGAGCCATCTTGGCGCCTATCAGAAGCATGATCCATAGAAAAATCGGTAGCGGTAGCGACAGCTTTGAGTCACACGAACAATATGACATCGTCTACTTCCAAGAGTACATCGATGACTACAGTGTATTTCAGGTACGTATATACATATATAGTGTGTGCCCTTTTGAGCAGAATTTCGTTATGTCGCATCGTTTCAGCTTAATGTGGGAGAAAAAGCCTGCAAAGCTATGGATATGGTGCTGACAAACATAGAAACATACTATGGCGTATATGGGATTTCAACCCGCGATGATATGTTCCTGATACACACAAGGGACGCAACTCTGCATTTATACGTATGTTAAACGTTCGTTGCACAAAACGGGGGCACGGGTGGCCCAGTCGTCTAAGGCGCCGCGATTCGCTGTGCAGAGTTGCGTCCCTTGGGCACGCCAGAAACCTATAGCTATGATTGTGGGTTCGAACCCAGCTTCGCCCCGATTATGTTTCTAGGTTTGTCAGCACCATACCCGTGCTCGTGGGTTTCACCGAAGTGGTAAACGTCTGAGACCTGCATCACTTCGGGCTTTCCTCCCACATTAAGCTGACACGCCGTGATATAACTGGAATAATGTTAAAAGCGGCGTTAAACCCAACTCACTCACTCGTTGCACAAAATGCTGATGTGGTGTTAAATAATTCTCCTTAACAAACAATTTCACCTCAGCTTCGATAATGTTGATAGGATTAATTGAACCTCCTTAACTAGGTGACCGCCTCCGTGGTCATGTGGTAGAGCGTCCGAGAGCGGAAGGTCCGGGGTTCGATCCCCGACCGCGTCATACAAAAAGACGTCAAAAGATGGTACTTGTTGTTACCCTGTCTGGCGCTCGGCATTAAGCGGCTAAAACAAGGACTGGTCGGCTCGGAGTCAGTATAGTGTGTCTGAGTGGGGTATTCATGTTCAACTGCGGCATGGTATCTCAGTGAGCTAGCACTATAAATCGGCATCAGTCCGGACTAGTACAAGCAGCCACACACATATACGGGCATGCACGTCGCTATATAAGTGCAATAATTTTGGACGCGACGTTAAAACACAATTTCACCTCACCTTAACTAGGTTCATATTCGTGAGTGTCCTTAATCTAAAAATAACAGATTTTGAACATGTAAGTGTTCCCAGCTCAAATAGCCTGGAGAAGGTATTCCATGAAATGATGATGTCGGTATAACAACGTTTCATGATCTGGGGCCTGTTAATAAAGTATAATGCTTGACTATTGCTAGAAGCTGTGTATAACCATACTCACTCACTCACTCAGTGAAGTAACTTAGTACTGTTCAAAGAGGCGTTATTCAAAATTCACTCACTCACTCTTTAATGTATAATTATTTTTTTCAAAATGACAAACCTTCCCCTCCTCTCCCCTACCCCAGATCCTCAATATTCCTGCCCCAAGAGACCCACTCTCAAGGGACACTCCAAGGCATGACTGTTGGATGTTTCAGATCCCGGGGGGTATCTACTGCGACGGGCGGAAAAATACGAAACCAACTCCTAATATACCGAACTACTTTACCTTCCGAGCAGAGATGGTAGTCCCAAGTTATAACACTATCGGCGCTTATGACGTGAGTCATAGTTTGTCGTGTTTTAAAATTATCATTGTCTTTTCTTTTAATATTATCATTTACAGACCCAAAATAAATAAATGCAGCAGAGGGGGGTTGGGTGATCCTGGCACAGTCAGGCTGGTTAGGCTCATTTTCAGCTCAGGGCCCTTGCCCCCTCTACACGCAGCGAATGGGACTTCTCCCAGGAAGCACTGCCTAGTCAAACCCACCCAGAACTTTTTGGAGAATGAGAAGATTCTCCAACACTGCAGCCTTCTGCATTACGCAGATTGTCAGAAGTGCTGTATTCCTGGTAGCAAACCCGGGTTTCACTTTTGAGAAGTACTCTGCAGGGCTGCTGTTCTTCTCAACACACTGCACATAATCTCGATGCAGTGGTCGTCCCAGATTCGATTCCCCACCTAGATTCACATTGTGTGAAGCCCATTTCTGGAGTCCCCTTCACGATATTGCTGAAATAGTGCTGAAATATTCCTGAACGGCTCACTCACTGTTTCTAAAATCACTGTCGTAGTCGTCGTTGTTGCTATGATCATCACACGTAGTAGTATTGCTGTAATCATTATCATTAATAGCAAGATGGGCCGTCAAAACACGCAAGAAACTATTCTGACCTTTGACCTTCAGGAATGGTACGACTACAGCCGGAAGATGGTGCGCATTGACTCGAAACCAATGCCAGGGGGAGTGGTCATTGTACCAATGGTTACTAGGAGAGACGTCCACGACTTTAACGCAGGTACAAACATACAGGAAAACCCCGTTATTCCGGACAAAGCAGTTCTCACTGAAATAGTCCGTATTAACATATGTCCAGATTAACGAATTAAGGGTATATGTCAGTGTCCCTTTAATCATGTATAAACGTTCCAAACAGTATTTGTTCGATTGGCGAGGTTTCCGAATAAACAGGGTCAGGACTAAAAAGGTTTCATTGTGCGGTGCCGTTTGCAGCGAAATCTTTCGGATTAACAAATGTGCAGATATGCGAACAGTGGATGTTATATTCTTTTATATGGACAGACGTTCTCAACAACAGACGTCCGGGATATGAGGCCTCTGGTTTAACGGGGTCTGGATTAACAGGTCACGGATTATTGGTGTTTCCTTCGCCTTTTTTTCTTCTATGTCGTTGTTTTAGTTTTGGTTTTTTTCGGTTTTGTCTTCACTTTGGTTTTCAGTTTCTTTGGTGTTTTTTTCGTATTTTTTTGTTTGTTTGTTTTAGTTCGGGATTTTGGTTATGAGGAGGGAGGGGAAGTCACAATCGCCTTATTCAGCATTCCCCACCCCGCACCCCCACCCCCAGCTATCCGTCAGTCCTCGTTTCGTTACCTTCAAATGTCAAGCTCTGTCTGGCTTGTATAAACGTTTTGGTTCTGTGAAATCCCGGCTGACATCCGTGGGATATCCGCTGCACCAATGGACAAAAACTACGATTTCCGTTTAACGCCATGTGAGTGAGTGAATGTGGTTTTACGCCGCTGTATGGACCATGTTTACATTGAAAACAATAAGCCTGTTTTTTTTAAAGAAGAACACACAAATTGATTGCGATTTTCTTTTCCGAATATCAATTGTCCTATATATATTTGATCAATTTTTCTGAGGGAAAACAATGCATAACATTGGTAAAAGTATTTAAGTGTCCCAGTGAAAGTGCTGAAATCACACTGTCCGTAATCGGCATCCAAAACAAACATATTTGGGGGCGTGGCCGAAAGGTCCCGGCGCATCTGTCACGAGGTGCAGAGGTGCTTGACTGAGGTTTTCATTGGCTGATTCTTAGCGGTTGAGTGTCACATCAAACACTGTACGGGACCGGCGGATGCCTGAAATACATAGATAGTGATTTGCGCAGATAATGATTTGCGACAAATTAAACTCACAATACATAAGTGTTTCCTTCACATCTTCATCTCACTATGGGAACATTTCCAATGAATAGAAGTTTGAAATCCGGTCTTAATCATTAATTTGTAGCCGGCAAAAGCCAAGAGCCGACCCCTCTTGGAACAGAGAAACAACTGAATATCAGCCTGCACATTTGCCACAGTGGAATGCTGTTTGTTGTCTGTAATTACTTAAATAGCCAAGTCGTACGAAATGATGAAGATGTTCGGTCACGCATTGAAGAGTGTTTACTCAGTACAGTGTATGTGAATTTGGACCTATAACATCAGACCCTGGACAAGTAGGAAGGCCCCCCCCAAAAAAAACCACCAGAATCTGTCACTGTGTAAGTCAAAGGTGTTGAATGTGTCACATTGTAGATATACATTGTTGAATTTGTCACTGTGGTAGTCTAAGTTTGTAAATGTGTCACCCTCAAGATCTAAGTTGTTGAGTTGTTACTATGTAAGTCTAAGTTGTTGAATTTGTCACGTTAGTGTGTAAATTTTAAGCTGTCGGATTTGTCACCGTGTAAGTCTAAGTTATTAAATTGTCACTGTGTAAGTCTAAGTTGTTAAATTTGTCACCGTGTAAGGCTAAGCTGTTGAATTTTTAACCGTGTAAATCAAAGTTGTTGAACTTGTCACGTGCAGTATGATTTATTACTTGTGACAGCGTCCCGTGAAGATCCGGGGTTAGAATAGGTCTTCAGCAACCCACGTTAGATGACTAACGGGATCGGGTGGTCAGGCTCGCTGACTTGGTTGATGCATGTTATCGTATCCCAATTGCGTAGATCGATGATCATGATGTCAATCACTGAATTGTCTGGTCCAGACTCGATTATTTACAGACCGCCGTCATGAAGCTGGAATATTGCTGAGTGTGGCGTAAACAACAAACAAACAAACTTGTCACAGAAATACGGAGATCTATCTCCTTCAAGCATTGACGTATACAATGTTGTACCTGACACGTCTCCCGAGGTCTGACTTTTTGTCTAGGTGTGTCCTACATGGTGGACATGACGTCAGGTGACTGTCACGTGGCTCCCCTCTCCGCGGACATCTTCGACTCCAAGCTGACTGACCTCAACCACATCGCCATCAAAAGTCCAAAACAGTTCTTTGACTTCACTTCCGGTGTCTTCGTGTACTCTGGACAGGTTTGCATTGCTTAATCTGGTTCTACTGTTGCTCTGCGCAGCCACCTTAAGCCTTTTAAAAAGCCAACAGGCGGCGGACAAGTCTGCACTATATCCGGTAACGGTGCGCATGTCTAGCCTTAAGCGCGAATGTAAACATACATGGAGACACGTCTACACCTCGAACGTTTGTTTGGAACATAATGTTGTTAACAAACTACTCTGCTGATGTGAATTTGGCAACATTAAGTTTACTTCATAAAGAACTTCACTTTGGCAAAATGTGTTATAATTCGACACTGGGGACCAAAGAATACAGTTTGTAGTGTCGTCCAATGGTAGCCGAAGAGAAATCTGCCTCCACCTGTCTGCATGTTTATGTAGACAGTAGCCCAGTCAATGAACTGCCTCCATACATTCGACACCACTCTCCCCTTTCCGTAACCTGCAAGAAGACTCGTCCCCCTATCGATGCACGTTTTGTGCGAAAATACAACAAACCGATCAAAATGCGCGTATCATTTCAAGTTCTTCATCAATTAATCCCTTTACATGTATTTTACATGTCTTGCATCTAAAAATATACCCAAGACAAAGATAAATGTGTTCAATCATGCTGTATATTTCCGCACGTCCCGATGTGCTTTAAATTGCATCTGAAATATATATATATAATATATGGGGAAATATATGTGAACCATTACGCAACGAGTTGACAATTGTTTTTGGCAGGCCGGTTTGCGCTAAGACGGAACCCGGTCGCAAAAATGGCCACGAGAGGGGCACGAGTCGCTATTCGACTTGTCCCGGAATAACACGCGTTGGTCACGAATGGCCTCCATATTGATATTGTGCCAGTATTTGGTTTTTACCCGTTATTGACATAAATACAATGTAAACGAACGTCAATGATATGCTTATGTAATAAGTCTATTAGAGGTATTTGATTTGTGAAAGAAATGACTAAATTTCAAATAACATCTAAACCTTTATAGGGGCGGTGGGGTAGTCTAGTGGTAAAAGCGTTCGCTCGTCACGTCAAAGACCCGGGTTCGATTCCCCACATGGGTACAATGTGTGAAACCCATTTGTGGTTTCCCCCAGCGGTGATATTGCTGGAATACTGTTAAAAGCGGCGTAAAACCATACTCACTCACTCACTCACTCACTCACTAAACCTTTATGATACAGAAACAGCCGCGAATGGTATCATTTTTTTAATTCGACTTTATGTTTTTCAACTTGTATTTTAAAGTTATCTAACATGTTGTTAAGTTAAAAGCTCTTTTATGTTTAGAAAACAGAGCGTGGCATTACCATGGATACGTGGATAGGGAAAAGACTGGATTTTCCACCGGGCCTCAACATGACATCTTATTGGGAATGGTACTTCTCCGCTGTGAGTGGCTAACCCTACCTTGTTTTCTGCAAAGCATCTTTTTATGAATAGTATTATTTCTAAACGTACGTTTCAGTCCAAGCGAACAGAAAAATTAACCAAGCGTTCAAGCGACGTTGATAATTAAAGGGATTCATTGGCATTAATAACTGTAATTGTTAAAAAAAAAAAAATTTTTTTAGTTAAGTGTACTTTAAACCGTGATCAATGCCATTGTTTTCCAGGACAAGTGGCTCATAAGCGAGTTCGGACCGTCTATCAGGAGTGCGCCAATGAGACTTAAGATCACCATACCCGGGGTACATATTATTAAGATTCGTTGGAGAACACGGGTGGCCCAGTCGTCTGAGGCGCCGTAATTCTCTTTGAAGAGTTGCGTTCCTTAGGCGTAACAAAACTCTATGAGTGGTAAATGTCAAAGACCTGCATCACTTCGGGCTTTCCTCCTACATCAAGTTGACACGCCGACATTTATCTGAAATACTGTTCAAAGTGGCGATAAACAAAACTCACTCACACGCTAAGAAAAGGTTTGTATTTAAAACTGAAAACCAACATATATACCCAGTAATTTTTTTTATTTATTTATTTATTTATTTGTTTGTTTGTTTGTTTGTTTGTTTGTTTGTTTGTTTGTTTGAACGAATTAGCATGATTTTTAACATGTTTTCATTCCCACCACAATGCAGATGTGTACAGTTAAGATTGTTTCTTTGTTAGGCAAATGCAACGTTCATATACAACATATTTGACTTCACGGAGGACGAGCCGGACATCAGTGTGTTTGATGTCTCGTACTGCTATGAGAAGGGAGACATACGTGACTTCCGGTTCACACTCACAGGTAGGTAACCCGGATGTTCATAAATAAAGTGCTTTTACCTTCTGATTTTTCGGGGCCGGGCAAACATTTGTACAATGACCCGGGGAGGGTCTCTGCCTCCCTGTAATAAATGGCCGATCACTGATATCTTATTCACCTTATTCAGAATACTTCATCATTTAATCGGGAAGTGTGTGTGTGTGTGTGTGTGTGTGTGTGTGTGTGTGTGTGTGTGTGTGTGTGTGTGTGTGTGTGTGTGTGTGTGTGTGTGTGTGTGTGTGTGTGTGTGTGTGTGTGTGTGTGTGTGAGTAAGCGAGCGTGTCCGGACTGATTTTATAGTTAGCCCACTGAGATACCATGGCGCAGTTAAACATGAATACCACACTCAGACACAGTATACTGACTTCAAGCCGACCTGTCCTTGTTTTAGCCCCTGAATGCCGAGCGCCAAGTGCCATCTTTTAACGTATTTTGGTATGATGCGGCCGCTCTTCCGCTCTCCGCAGATTACAAGACTACCCAATATGCAATGCAAAATAGAAAATGTGCCCCTTCTTTCCCGGAAACCTGTCTCCGCGCCTGGTGAATCCTTAATCTGTTGGTTCTTGCATCAAATCTACAGACGCTTTTTCGTTTATATTAGACCACGTTTAGTGCTGTATATTGTGAAACTACGAACGAATGAAATCAGCCAATTCCTTTAAATCCCAACATTTTCAGTTTTGTTGCAGGTAATTCGTGGGCCATCTCACCCAAACCCAAACTATTCAAGTACAACATGGCTACCGCGATAGCCAGGGCCATGGGCGTGGCTAGCCCTAGGATACAAGCAGCGCAGGTAGTGTACCCGTCATCTCTGTTGTAGGAACAGATGTAGTAGTAGACGACGTAGCAGTTATTGTAAATGTAGTCGTAGAGTGTTTTTAGAAGTCGTAAAGGTCGATATGTCGGCTTAATGTGAGAGGCATGTAATGCAGGTCTTGTGTGTAGCTGACGTAGTGCTTGTTATTGCAGTTGTAGTAGCAGTAGTAATAGAGGTGGTAGCGGTAGTAGCAGTAGTAGTGGTAGTAGTGGTGGTGGTTGCAGTAGTAGTATAAGTGCTGGTAGTTGTTGCAGTAGTAGCAGCAGTAGTAATAGTGGTGGTAGCGGTAGTAGCAGCAGTAGTAATAGTGGTGGTAGCAGTAGTAGCAGTAGTAATAGAAGCGGCAGTAGCAGTAGTAGTAGTAGTAGTGGTAGTAGCAGTTGTAGTTGTGGTAGCAGTAGAAGAAGCAGTAGTAGCAGCAGTTGTAGTAGCAGTAGAAGTAGTTGTAGTAGTACTGGTAGTAGCAGCAGCAGTTGTAGTAGTGGTAGCAGCAGTTGTAGTAGTTGTTGTAGCAGTAGTAGTAGCAGCTGTAGTCTGGTGGTTGAGTCAGACGTACTAACAGTGGTAACAGAACAAGCGATATTGTTACAGCAGTAGTAGTAGCAGCTGTAGTCTGGTGGTAGAGTCAGACGTAGTAACAGTGGTAACAGAACAAGCGATATTGTTACAGGAGAAGTAGTAGCAGCTGTAGTCTGGTGGTTGAGTCAGACGTAGTAACAGTGGTAACAGAACAAGCGATATTGTTACAGCAGTAGTAGTAGCAGCTGTAGTCTGGTGGTAGAGTCAGACGTAGTAACAGTGGTAACAGAACAAGCGATATTGTTACAGGAGAAGTAGTAGCAGCTGTAGTCTGGTGGTTGAGTCAGACGTAGTAACAGTGGTAACAGAACAAGCGATATTGTTACAGCAGTAGTAGTAGCAGCTGTAGTCTGGTGGTTGAGTCAGACGTAGTAACAGTGGTAACAGAACAAGCGATATTGTTACAGGAGAAGTAGTAGCAGCTGTAGTCTGGTGGTTGAGTCAGACGTAGTAACAGTGGTAACAGAACAAGCGATATTGTTACAGGAGTAGTAGTAGCAGCTGTAGTCTGGTGGTTGAGTCAGACGTAGTAACAGTGGTAACAGAACAAGCGATATTGTTACAGGAGAAGTAGTTGCAGCTGTAGTCTGGTGGTTGAGTCAGACGTAGTAACAGTGGTAACAGAACAAGCGATATTGTTACAGGAGAAGTAGTTGCAGCTGTAGTCTGGTGGTAGAGTCAGACGTAGTAACAGTGGTAACAGAACAAGCGATATTGTTACAGGAGAAGTAGTTGCAGCTGTAGTCTGGTGGTTGAGTCAGACGTAGTAACAGTGGTAACAGAACAAGCGATATTGTTACAGGAGAAGTAGTAGCAGCTGTAGTCTGGTGGTTGAGTCAGACGTAGTAACAGTGGTAACAGAACAAGCGATATTGTTACAGGAGAAGTAGTAGCAGCTGTAGTCTGGTGGTTGAGTCAGACGTAGTAACAGTGGTAACAGAACAAGCGACATTGTTACAGGAGAAGTAGTAGCAGCTGTAGTCTGGTGGTTGAGTCAGACGTAGTAACAGTGGTAACAGAACAAGCGATATTGTTACAGGAGAAGTAGTAGCAGCTGTAGTCTGGTGGTTGAGTCAGACGTAGTAACAGTGGTAACAGAACAAGCGATATTGTTACAGGAGTAGTAGTAGCAGCTGTAGTCTGGTGGTTGAGTCAGACGTAGTAACAGTGGTAACAGAACAAGCGATATTGTTACAGGAGTAGTAGTAGCAGCTGTAGTCTGGTGGTTGAGTCAGACGTAGTAACAGTGGTAACAGAACAAGCGATATTGTTACAGCAGTAGAAGTAGCAGCTGTAGTCTGGTGGTTGAGTCAGACGTAGTAACAGTGGTAACAGAACAAGCGATATTGTTACAGGAGAAGTAGTTGCAGCTGTAGTCTGGTGGTTGAGTCAGACGTAGTAACAGTGGTAACAGAACAAGCGATATTGTTACAGGAGTAGAAGTAGCAGCTGTAGTCTGGTGGTTGAGTCAGACGTAGTAACAGTGGTAACAGAACAAGCGATATTGTTACAGCAGTAGTAGTAGCAGCTGTAGTCTGGTGGTTGAGTCAGACGTAGTAACAGTGGTAACAGAACAAGCGATATTGTTACAGGAGAAGTAGTAGCAGCTGTAGTCTGGTGGTTGAGTCAGACGTAGTAACAGTGGTAACAGAACAAGCGATATTGTTACAGGAGTAGAAGTAGCAGCTGTAGTCTGGTGGTTGAGTCAGACGTAGTAACAGTGGTAACAGAACAAGCGATATTGTTACAGGAGTAGTAGTAGCAGCTGTAGTCTGGTGGTTGAGTCAGACGTAGTAACAGTGGTAACAGAACAAGCGATATTGTTACAGGAGTAGAAGTAGCAGCTGTAGTCTGGTGGTTGAGTCAGACGTAGTAACAGTGGTAACAGAACAAGCGATATTGTTACAGGAGTAGTAGTAGCAGCTGTAGTCTGGTGGTTGAGTCAGACGTAGTAACAGTGGTAACAGAACAAGCGATATTGTTACAGGAGAAGTAGTAGCAGCTGTAGTCTGGTGGTTGAGTCAGACGTAGTAACAGTGGTAACAGAACAAGCGATATTGTTACAGGAGTAGAAGTAGCAGCTGTAGTCTGGTGGTTGAGTCAGACGTAGTAACAGTGGTAACAGAACAAGCGATATTGTTACAGGAGAAGTAGTAGCAGCTGTAGTCTGGTGGTTGAGTCAGACGTAGTAACAGTGGTAACAGAACAAGCGATATTGTTACAGGAGAAGTAGTAGCAGCTGTAGTCTGGTGGTTGAGTCAGACGTAGTAACAGTGGTAACAGAACAAGCGATATTGTTACAGGAGAAGTAGTAGCAGCTGTAGTCTGGTGGTTGAGTCAGACGTAGTAACAGTGGTAACAGAACAAGCGATATTGTTACAGGAGTAGTAGTAGCAGCTGTAGTCTGGTGGTTGAGTCAGACGTAGTAACAGTGGTAACAGAACAAGCGATATTGTTACAGGAGTAGTAGTAGCAGCTGTAGTCTGGTGGTTGAGTCAGACGTAGTAACAGTGGTAACAGAACAAGCGATATTGTTACAGCAGTAGAAGTAGCAGCTGTAGTCTGGTGGTTGAGTCAGACGTAGTAACAGTGGTAACAGAACAAGCGATATTGTTACAGGAGAAGTAGTTGCAGCTGTAGTCTGGTGGTTGAGTCAGACGTAGTAACAGTGGTAACAGAACAAGCGATATTGTTACAGGAGTAGAAGTAGCAGCTGTAGTCTGGTGGTTGAGTCAGACGTAGTAACAGTGGTAACAGAACAAGCGATATTGTTACAGCAGTAGTAGTAGCAGCTGTAGTCTGGTGGTTGAGTCAGACGTAGTAACAGTGGTAACAGAACAAGCGATATTGTTACAGGAGAAGTAGTAGCAGCTGTAGTCTGGTGGTTGAGTCAGACGTAGTAACAGTGGTAACAGAACAAGCGATATTGTTACAGGAGTAGAAGTAGCAGCTGTAGTCTGGTGGTTGAGTCAGACGTAGTAACAGTGGTAACAGAACAAGCGATATTGTTACAGGAGTAGTAGTAGCAGCTGTAGTCTGGTGGTTGAGTCAGACGTAGTAACAGTGGTAACAGAACAAGCGATATTGTTACAGGAGTAGAAGTAGCAGCTGTAGTCTGGTGGTTGAGTCAGACGTAGTAACAGTGGTAACAGAACAAGCGATATTGTTACAGGAGTAGTAGTAGCAGCTGTAGTCTGGTGGTTGAGTCAGACGTAGTAACAGTGGTAACAGAACAAGCGATATTGTTACAGGAGAAGTAGTAGCAGCTGTAGTCTGGTGGTTGAGTCAGACGTAGTAACAGTGGTAACAGAACAAGCGATATTGTTACAGGAGTAGAAGTAGCAGCTGTAGTCTGGTGGTTGAGTCAGACGTAGTAACAGTGGTAACAGAACAAGCGATATTGTTACAGGAGAAGTAGTAGCAGCTGTAGTCTGGTGGTTGAGTCAGACGTAGTAACAGTGGTAACAGAACAAGCGATATTGTTACAGGAGAAGTAGTAGCAGCTGTAGTCTGGTGGTTGAGTCAGACGTAGTAACAGTGGTAACAGAACAAGCGATATTGTTACAGGAGAAGTAGTAGCAGCTGTAGTCTGGTGGTTGAGTCAGACGTAGTAACAGTGGTAACAGAACAAGCGATATTGTTACAGGAGAAGTAGTTGCAGCTGTAGTCTGGTGGTAGAGTCAGACGTAGTAACAGTGGTAACAGAACAAGCGATATTGTTACAGGAGAAGTAGTTGCAGCTGTAGTCTGGTGGTTGAGTCAGACGTAGTAACAGTGGTAACAGAACAAGCGATATTGTTACAGGAGAAGTAGTAGCAGCTGTAGTCTGGTGGTTGAGTCAGACGTAGTAACAGTGGTAACAGAACAAGCGATATTGTTACAGGAGAAGTAGTTGCAGCTGTAGTCTGGTGGTTGAGTCAGACGTAGTAACAGTGGTAACAGAACAAGCGATATTGTTACAGGAGTAGTAGTAGCAGCTGTAGTCTGGTGGTTGAGTCAGACGTAGTAACAGTGGTAACAGAACAAGCGATATTGTTACAGGAGAAGTAGTTGCAGCTGTAGTCTGGTGGTTGAGTCAGACGTAGTAACAGTGGTAACAGAACAAGCGATATTGTTACAGGAGAAGTAGTAGCAGCTGTAGTCTGGTGGTAGAGTCAGACGTACTAACAGTGGTAACAGAACAAGCGATATTGTTACAGGAGAAGTAGTAGCAGAGTAAAGTGAATATTGCTTTGCGACGCATCAGGGATGTTACAGTTGGCAGTTGTTATTGTAGCAGCAGTAGCACGGGGGTCAGGGGCATTTAATATATAAAGGAAATATTGAAAAAATAAACTGTTCGCAAAGTGTATACATGAAATATTCCTTTGGTATGCTGCATGATGTGAACAATAAGGTTAGTTAAACAATAACTAACTCGCGTCAGAGTGAAAAGTGTAGGTCTTAAAGTTGGTTAATTGATAATCCAGTGATTGATATCATGAGCATCGATCCACGCAGGTCTTAAAGCAGTGACCGAGGCCATATTCTGTGCCTCACAGACCCCTCCAGAATATCAGATGGTCGGTCCGTATTCAATATTCCAATCCTATTTTGTAGGCGGACTTTGACAACAAAGGCGTGTACGTCCTCTTCACGTTGCTGGGGCCGCCTCCGATCAAAGGTGACACCGGTAACCCCATCAACTCCGTGAGCTCTGACACCGCCGCCAACAACTTCCGCCAATCTCTGGACTCTGGCCAGTTTTCATTTCAATCGACCATTGTCAAGCCTTCCTCGGGGCCGGTACGTCACAGCTGAATGTGTCTGGAAGGATGGTTTCAGCAATGTTTCAGCAGTGTTTCAGCAATGTTTCAGCAGTGGTTAAACAATAAAATGTTTATGCAACCAATACCCATAATTTTGCCGACTAAAGATGACGATTAAAATTTGTGACGTGGTTGATTGTGTGTGATCGTACCCTAAATGGCGAGGACGGTTACTCATGCTATCAACCACTGGCTTACCAGGCCTAAACTCGGGTATTCAAAGGTTGTCGTCATGTAGTTTGAACATTGCTGAATAAACAGTTACTTAACATTAATATATGACATTATCCCCATGTGTTTTCGGACGATTGTGAAACATTCGTAGTTTTCTCGCTAATCACAAGAACAACTGTAAAACATCTCACTCACTCATAAAGTGTACTTATAAAGACGACTTTATCTGAAAAACAGGCCATCGTCTAATTATTACCAAAGTCTGGATGATGCCACACTCCTTGTTATAACACGAGTAATCGTGACAAACATGGCCGTCCCAAAACGTATAATGTCCGAAAACCTATGATCCAACGATAATTAAGCATTTGTTTTGAAATCAAAACAGTGTCTCAAAGTCAGGGCCAGCCGATCGTCAGTGTGATATGGTAATTGGAATATTTCAAAACAAAATGATTGTGTTGGTGACAACTGTGTTAATTTTCATCCACAGCAAACCTTTACTTACACGGGAGTAGCACACTCCATGAAGGAAGTGATCAGGTCATCTAACGGTACTCTAACTGACCTCGTAGATACAACTACTTCCGGGTCAACCATGGCAGTGACCACTTTAAGGCAAAGGACCACAGTCCAGCCTCCTGTTCCTACACCGGCGCCAACACGTCACAGCAGTAAGTGTAAACAGTTTCCACCGTGGTGTCGCAATGGGTACACCGATCTAGTTTGTCCAAATATTCACACTGACAACATACACTGAATGTTTGATAAAACTTTATGGCCCAGAGAGTGGCAGTGGGGTTCGACCCCTGGTCGTGTTATTCCACCCTCACTCGTTGTCCGTACTGTCCATACTATCCCTGTATTATTCTACTATGGAAATACCATCAGTTAAACTGGTTGCCGGCCTTCTACGCGCATCCTCAGCTATTATTGTGACACGGAGAGACTGAGCCCACCTAAGGTCGTCGATATATGAGTGAAACATTGTCATTACGGCGTTTAATTCTCATTCACTCACGCACTCACTAACTCACTCACTCACTCACTCACGGAGGGATAGCCCGGATTTGGATAATCAAGATTAAAAACGTAACCAGTAACCCGTGAATATTTGAAATAAAAATGGACCGCTTCCGTGGTCTAGTGGTAGAGCGTCCGCCCGGAGAGCGGAAGGTCCGGGGTTCGATGCCCGGCCGCGTCATACCAAAAGACGTTAAAAGATGGTACTTGATGGTACCCTGTCTGACGCTCGGCATTAAGGGGTTAAAGCAAGGACTGGTCGGCTCGGAGTCAGTATAGTGTGTCTGAGTGGGGTATTCATGTTCAACTGCGGCATGGTATCTCAGTGGGCTAGCAGTATAAATCGGCATCAGTCCGGTCTAGTACAAGCAGCCACACACACACGTACATGCACGTCGCTATATAAGTGCAATAATCTTGGACGCGACGTTAAACCCAATTTCACCTCACCTCAAATAGAAATACAGGTACTATTGCCGAACATGTACTTGGTTACCCGCGAAAGGGGCGGTGGGGTAGTTAAGTGGTTAAAGCGTTCGCTCGTCACGCCGAAGACCCGGGTTCGATTCCCACATGGGTACAATGTGTGAAGCCCATTTCTGGTGTTCACCGCCGTGATATTGTCGGAATATTGCTTAAAGCGGCGTAAAATCAAACTCACTCACTCATTCATGAGACGTTTTTTCAGGACATCCAGTATTTGTAGAGTACAATTATTTTTATGTTAAACCTGTTGGGTTGTTTCACACAAACCCAGCGAAACCTCATCAAATAAGCGTTACCCGCGTTATGGATGGGTATGCCTTGAACAATGTATTTTAGTCATAAGCAGAAACCACATGTTCTTGCAACACCGAGGATGGATATATTTCTTAGCTTACTTAAATAATACAAAAAACAATACACTCCTTGTGAAGAATATCTCATAGATGGACTGGTTGTATTTGTGTGTGATCGTATATGGCGTGTATGATTTTCTCAAACACATGTTTGCCTGATCCACGACCAAGACTCACGTTCCTTTTGGATGGAATATACAAGTTGTGAAACAGTTTTATTAAAACGGTTTATTTTCAAAGATTGTTGACAACAGACATTATGTTTTCATGGTATGACTGTTCTGATGAATAAAAGATACACAATATTTATCGTCAATTGACGACATCAGAAGTAACTGGCATTACCATTGTTTTCCAGGTCTGGAGGGTTCACAGTCGGGCTGGCAAGGAGGTAAAGTTAAATGGCTTAATAAGTAATTTATGAATAATATTGTCCATCTTTGTAGTAAATTACAGTATGCTATTTGTGAGTGGTCGGTGGTTCGATCCCCGCTGCGCCATACCAAAAAAACGTTACACGATGAAACTTGTTGTTAACCTGCCTGGCGCTTGGCATTAAGGGGATGGAACAAAGACTGGTCGGCTCGGAGTCAGTGTACTGTGTCTGAGTTGGGGTGTCCATGTTAAACTGTGGCATGGTATCTCAGTGGGCAAGCATTAAAAAACCGTCAAAAGTCTGGATTGGTATCAGTATCAGAGACTAATAGTATTTCTCTTTAGCGTCGTTGGGTTTTTTAAACCTTAAGTCGTCCTTACCTTTAAACAAATCGTAGTTAACATTTCGTTAAGTGGATAGATTATTTATTGCATATATCCGTACAAGTACAAGCAGCCACACACACACACACACACACACACACACACACACACACAAACGTCGCTATACAAGTGAAATTATCTAGAATGCGGCGCCAATCACGACCTGTAAGCCAATAAGTTCGATAATATCCAGATGATAATCAATTTGTAAGAAATAGTATTCCAGTAAAACCAGATATCAATAAATATTAGAATTCAATTCCCTATCTTATGGGCATCATCTAAACCCACGACTATGGTATTTCGTTGTCCCCCCACACAGCACGGGGCGGTGGGGTAGCCTAGCGGTTAATGCGTTCGCTCCTCACGGCGAAGGCCCCGGTTCGATTCCCCACATTGTACATTGTATGAAAACCATCATTGGGTACCCCGTCGTGGCATTGCTGGAATATTGCTAAAAGCGGCGTAAAAACATACTCACTCAAGCAAACGATGCCCAGAAGATGAGTAAGGCGTGGTTGGTGAAGATGCTTCATGTTGTTTACGTTATTAATATATAAATCGGAAATATTCATTGCACAAAAATTGCTTTGTTTCAGGTTCTGTTGCCGGTATAGCCATTGGCATGACCGTCCTTGGATTATTTCTGGGAGTAATCTCAACCGTTGTGGCGTTGAAATTAAAAAGGAAATCGGACGAACTGACAGATACTCTAGTTATGGATAAAATAAATGAATAACTCAAATATGCCTACAAGGTGTACGCTTTGACATTGAAATCATTTAAGTAAAGTTTCGGAAGAAAATTAACGAAGAATTAATAAATATAATTTACATTTGTCCATCAACCTAATTGAATGAATTTATTCCTTTACTTATGAAAAAAAGCATCGCGTTAGTTAAAACTACAATTTACCTATACTATTGCAATGGCAAAAACATTTGAAGCCTGGCTTTTTCATATTTTGAATGTTTTGTTCTGATTAATGTCGCTCAAATAAGCCCAAATTACACTCGGTTTATGTACATATGTGAATATGTATACTATTTCTGATATTTGTAGATATTGTGCGAACGTGCTAACATTAAAAACTATGAAATATGGATTTTGTGTTTTTGATCATGTATCTTTTTGATAGCGACATGTGCAAAGTCGTTTAACGCAGCAACAGTGCAGCTATACCACAGTTGCTGATAGAGTGAGTGAGTGACTAAGCTTTAACGCCACTGAACAGTGTTTCAGTGATATCACGGCGGGTCATGTTGATGTTGGAGGGTAACCCGACGCCACGCCGGTCTCACATGTAGATGTTTACCCATGCTGACGAACTAGAAATATAAGATCCTGGCACGCCTAAGGGACGCAACTCTGTACCCTGACTGAGCCATTCATTGCATAAGTAGGGTTTGCAGCGCACTACGATAGCTACAAATCATAACAAATTATTAATATCTACCGTGGTCGCCACGGTGCCTGTCCCTTCATACGTCAAACCGCAAGGGGCGTGGCCAAAGGTCACGTGGCACATTAGAATCAAGTTTATATCCCAGATTTGTTACCTTGAAAAACATGTTTTTAAAAGAATTCATCTACCCAGTCAGTTTTTGAAACAACACGAGAAATAATAATACATTTTAATTGGCAGAATACAAAGTACAACTCACAATGCTATACGCGACACATTTACTTTGAGGTGTGTTTATTGTAATACAGAACGTGATTTGCGAGTGCACGTGCCGTTCCGGAAGATCACGCTTTCTACGTGTTTCACATCAAGGAGCGGCGTTTCCTTTTATGAAGTAGGCCCATCCATATTATAAGAGGTACAATTCTTAGAATACTTATTGCAATGAAAAGTGTTCAATAGCTTTGCAAAGCGATTTGTAAGAGGTTTTAATTGTCATACAATGTGTGTGTCTGTGTCTGTGTCTGCGTCTGTGTCTGCGTGTGTCCCGTAAAATAATCGGGAAATTACTATGAAATATAGCAATTTTCACTTACTCACTCACTCACTCGCTGAACAAATCCTCGGTAACATAAAACTGAACAACGTTGAATCACCTTTTCAACAGTTTAATCATTTATATACTGAAGAGAGAAAATAAGGGAAGGGCTAAAAAGGTACATATTTGTATGTTAAAATTTCTAAACATTTCAAAGGATATATGACCATGTTGTGATCAGATACAAACTTACGAATTGCTTTGTTGACATGCAGTTATAACGTAAACAATAATCTGCAATATGTGTACGTGTTCCCTAAGTTTCTTCCATCAGTATATATTTCAACAAGTATTGTACATACATTTCAGACAAATTATTATTTTCAAAGTAAACATATCAAATAAAGTGCTATATATCACAGAAAATGCATATGCTTGTAATCGGCAGGATGCATTCAACTGACAACAAATGAGATAGATGTTATCTCCAATCACGCTATTTTGATTTTGCTCACAAACCATGACGTCACATTATTCGGTGTTCTGTACAAGGACACTGTGGGGGCGACTGGGAGACGTGGCCTGTGTGGTTTGGCAGACTTATAGAGTGAGTGAGTGTGTTTAGTCAACAATAAATACGACCCAAAGTCGCATAAGGAGTCACGACCCGCACAAATCACGAGCCAAAAAGACCAAAAGACCAGGACACAAATGGGTTCGATTTGACCTTGTCAAATCAGACCCAGAAAGAGGACCGCCTCCGGGGAGAGAATGAGAGAGAGAGAAGCAAACGCCGTTGTGTCGAAGTTGAAGGGACCTACGTACACACTTCGAGTTATCCGAGGTTCGACACAACCGTGAATTCTGAATAAAGAAGAAATACGCAGGGACCAAGCCTTTACTTCAAGACAGACGTAAATTCGACACATCAAAGTTCGCGACAAAGGTGTCCCCTCGAGACTGTATATTAATATATATTATATATTATAAAAAGGGTATATACATATACATTGCGGGTACAGTTTGGATTCGTAAGTAATCATATTCAAGTGTGCGATTGTTGTACATTCGAGGAGCATCGAACCCGGTCCTCTATGCACGTGATGAAGAACGCACTAACCACTTGGCCACCTTACCACCCCTGTAGTGTGGAGACAAAAGCAATATGAGTCTGACAATGTAAGGTGTTTAAATGATAGGTACCAGCAGCACATACACCATCCAGCCCAAACTAACTCAATCCCACCAACCATCCCATCCAACGATAAACATACAAACTCCATCCACCGAAACATTTAACCCCAAGCATATCACCCCGAAAACAGATCAATCGCATCCTTTTTAACTCTACCACACAAAGTATGTTAAACAACACCCGATTCTTTCACATGGCTATAGTTAATCTGGCGATCATGCCATGAAAGATCAACTGTACATGTGTTCTTGTAAGAATTGGACGTGTTTAACTTCTTTTCAGTAGCATACATTAAACCCCAGTACTTCCGTGAGAGACCCGTGAAGATTCCGGGGAAGAATAGGTGTTCAGCAACCCATGCTTGCCGTAAAAGGCGACTATGCTTGTCGTAAAAGGCGACTAACGGAATCGGGTGGTCAGGCGCGCTGACTTGGTTGATACATGTCATCGATCCTAATTGCGTGGATCGATGGTCATGATGTCAATCACTGGATTATCTGGTCCAGACTCGATTATTTTACAGACCGCCGTCATATAGCTGGAATATTGCTGATTGCGGCGTTAAACAACAAACCAACCCAACCCAACTTCCGTGAGAGAATAGGGTGGTTACAGTGTGTGACCTGCCTGATTCCGTGTCATCGTACATGGCAGCGTGAATTGTTGGTCATGCTGTCAACCACTCGTTGGCCGGTATAAACTTTATAATGCACAGGTCGCTGAGATATAGCTGGAATATTGCTAACTGCGGCGTTAAACAATATTCACACATACATATTCAATAATTTAAACAGCAAACATTTAACGACACCCACCAACAGTCCATCCTCAGCACAGTGACCAAAATTAAACACTTACATTTTCTTATTAAGATTTCATCTCGTAAGAGGCGACTTGTGGGATCGGACGGTTAGGCTCGCTGACTTGGATGATCCATGTCATCTTATCCCAATTGCATAGATCGACGTTCATGATGTCAGTCACTAGATTGCTTGGTCCAGGCTCAATTATTTATACACCGCCGTCATAGAGCGGGAATATTGCTGAGTACGGCGTTTAACAACAAACAAACATCTATTAATATTCAAGATATAATCAGCAAGAACTGACACCAGCTCATGATTGCATAACACTTGGGAGGAAACAGAGCATGTCAAAATGATGCCGCCACGTTTCGGTGTACTCTGAACTTGAGTGGTATTTCCGTTTCCGGTAGAAACGGAAGTTTGACGTCATCGTCCCGTCCCATTATTATCGCGCTGTCCCTGAAGTTCAACTCGCACTGAAAATAAAATTCTCAAAATTTACAAAATAATTTCTCAAAATGATGAACATTTGATAATATTGACATAAGACGCTTTCGATTTTATACTGTTTCATTTGCTTACAAACACACAATTTTCATCATGATATACATTTTTTTTTAGCCAACAATAAATTAATTCGTATTCAATAGGGAATATGAGATAGCATTTATTGGTTTGCTTATTGTTTTACGCCGCACCCAGCTATATGCCCTGTAAATAAGTGGGTATTGTCCAGTATTGTGCTCAACGACCCATCCCGTTGGGGTACGATGACCCACAATCAACCAAATCACCGACTCTGACCCATCTTCCCGAGTCAAGGAAGTTAAAAGACTTAAAAAGTCCAGTTTCCACCCTTACCGAAGTAGGCTGGAATTTCTTGGGCTCGATTGTGGCGCCACCAGTGGCTATTACGAGTTATGATCCTTCTAGGTCCTCCCTACCGACCAATCAGATTCCATCTCTCATATGTCTTGCACTTGCACCATTATTTCATCGATAATAAAAGATCTTTATTGTAATAAAACGGAACTGGAAGTGCATCACATCACTCAAGCATTTGGATTAAAAACATGAAACGTTTTTGAAAATATCTGTCGACGCCAAGTTGACGGTACACATGTTCTGCAAATCCTCCAATCGAACGAATTCGGCACGGCGTTTGCCTTTTGTTATGAACCGGATGTCGATTTCTTTATTGGAAATTGATTGGACTACGCATAGACACGTTAGTCAAGTCAAAATATAACTCCATAAATCTAGCCTTGTTCGGCAAGGGTGGAAACTGAACTTTAAAGTCAGTTAAAACCCTGGCATCGGGAAGATGAGTCTGACCACGAGATCCATTTAGTCGCCTCTGACGACCATGGGGCTTGGGGGGTAGCGTGTGAAGGAGACAAGCAATAAGTGTTTGTTGTTTATTCCAGTCAAATCGTGGTTTACAAATTAAATAAGATATTTCAAAGCGAAAGTTGCCAAAGAAAGGTCTGGCTCGTGAGGGATCGTTTAAAGGGAGGTAACTCCGATTGTGAATGCGCCAACACAAGGAAGAGAAGCGCGTGGTAAAAATGCTATGAAAGCACTGTAAAATCACTCAGAGCATCGCAGCAGCAGGAAGGAACATTTGCACGTGCAATCCCCGACAGTTTAATCCAGCTAATATTTTAACAGTGAGTGAGTGAGTATGGTTTTACGCCGCTTTTAGCAATATTCCAGCAATATCACGGCGGGGGACACCAGAAATGGGCTTCACACATTGTACCCATGTCGGGAATCGAGCCCGGGTGTTCGGCGTGACGAGCGAACGCTTTAACCACTAGGCTACCCCACCGCCCCTGTGAACAGACAATTTCATTAAAATCAGATCTTTTACTCCTACGCGATACCTCCCTGCATTAAGAGATATTAGAACGTCCCTGACCAGTGAAGATCGGGGTAGAGAATAGGTCTTCAGCAACCCATGCTTGCCAATCACTGGATTGTCTGGTCCAGACTCGATTATTTACAGACCGCCGTCATAGAGCTGCAATATTGCTGAGTTAGGCGTTAAACAACAAACAAACATTAAGATCGGTCGTTTTGGGATATCGTACTTCGATTGGCGTATCATATGATGCAGATTAGCGTCCGCCCGGAGAGCGGAAAGTCGGGGGTTCGATCCCCGGTCGCGTCATACCTAAAGACGTTAGATGGTACTTGTTGTTACCCTGCCTGGCGGTCGGCATTAGGGGCTAAAACAAGGACTTCAGTATACAGTGTATGAATGTTAAACTGCGGCATGGTATCTCAGTTGGCTAGCACCATTTGGTCCGGACTCACTCACTCTCTCACTCTCTCTTACTCTCTCTCACTCTCTCACTCTCTCTCACTCTCTCTCACTCTCTCACTCTCTCTCACTCTCTCTCACTCGCTCACTCTCTCACTCTCTCTCACTCTCTCTCACTCTCACTCTCTCTCACTCTCTCTCACTCTCACTCTCTCTCACTCCCTCTCTCTCTCACTCTCTCTCTCACTCACTCACTCACACACACACGCGCGCGCACACACACACACGCGCACGCACACACACACGCACACTCACGCACGCACGCACGCACGCGCACAGACACACACACACACACACACACACATGTTATATACATGCTACAACCTTGAACGCGACGTTAAACCCCATTCACCCCACCTCACCTAAAATAAAGATAAAATTGATTCTCACGGAACTACATTGCGTAATTCCTGCGCAAAATGACAAGAAGACAGGTAACGAAAAGATTACTCCCTTTCGACGTCAATAAGATATTCTAACGCAACAATTACCCCACAATTCAGTTTGACATTTCAAGCCAGCTTCCACAGTTACGACATCACATCGACTGATTATAACAGCATCGCTCATTGCCTTGACGTGAGCTGTATCTGGAAACTATTGAATTACAAGATGGAAAATTGGCGATTGCAACTTGCTTTTAATGCCACTCACATTTTTTAGCTTATAATATTTTCTTTTTAAGCAAGCTATTTGTTACGTTCACATTGTTTACATGTGTAATGTACACTTCTGATTAGAAACAAAAGAGAGACATACTCGTTGTTCATGCTATCGTAAACATTGATTGATCCAGCCGCTTTTCACTGAAGATAATTGCTTCATTTAAAGTAAAAGCACGCAAGTACATCAGTCAAGTCGATGTATTTGCTTGTTCTTTTACTCCGCAGTCAGCAATACCCCAACTATATTACGGCAAAATGTAAATAATCAGTCGAGTCTGGGACAGGCGAACGTGTGGTTGGCGTAATGAGGATCGACCAGTGCCGTCGGGTCACACCGTGTTTTGTTTGTTTGTTGTTTAACGCCGCACGCAGCAATATTCCAGCTATATCACATCGGTCTGTAAATAATCGAGTATGGACCAGACAATCCAGTGATTGACATCATGAGCATCAATCAACACAATTGGGATACGATGACATGCATCAAACAAGTCACCCGATACCGTTAATCGCCTCTTGGACAATCATAGTCGCCTTTTACGTCAAGGCGTTAACTATTCTCCATGGGTTCCAAAAGAAGGCGACGCACACGAGTATAACCTGTACGTCAAAACAGTGAGCCGGCCGCCTTTGAAATAGTAGGTTAGTAGTAACAGTTTAACAGTAGCTTTCACGAAGCGGTAATATAGGTAGCCTGGTAGCTGTGATGTTAAGATAGGTAGAGGTGGTGGTAGTAGTTAAGTACAGTGATGTCAGTAGTTAAGTGGAGGTGGTGTCAGTAGTTAAGTGGAGGTGGTGTTAGTAGTTAAGAAGCAGTGATGTTAGTAGTTAAGTAGCAGTGATGTTAGTAGTTAAGTAGCAGTGATGTTAGTAGTTAAGAAGCAGTGATGTTAGTAGTTAAGTAGCGGTGATGTTGGTAGTTAAGTAGAGGTGATGCTAGTAGCTAAGTAGCAGTGATGCTAGTAGTTAAGTAGCAGTGATGTTATTTGTTTTTCTGAGCATCAAAGATGTCGATATAACCATGTCAGACATGCATGTTGAGGTAGGTCGCCTAAGAGAAGTTTCTGTTTTTTTTGTTCTGTAGTAGGTACATTTAGTAACACATACGTTACTTACCTTGAACTGAGAGAGAAAGTCGACCCCCAGCACGATATCCGGTATGTCATCTGCAAGGCACGTTGTTCTCAGAAATAATGGTGGTTAGAAGGAACAAAAACACGTGACCCTCATAACGTGAAATAAACGACTGTTAACTACATCTTAACGATGTCAATAGGTAAGTGGAATCGGTAATTTACTGCTGAGGGATGGCTTGGTCAGTTATACGTGAATGAGTGAGTGAGGTGGGTTTAAGCTACTTTGATCAGTATTGTCGGCTTATTGTGGGATGAGAGAGTGAGTTTTAATTTAACGTCGACATTTTAGGGGGGGGGGGGGGGGGGGGGGTCTCAGACGTTCACCACGAAACCCTCGAGCAAGAGTCTGGTGCTGACAAACCTGGAAACATCAGGGGAAATCTACAATCACAGGTTTCTGGTATGTCTAAGGGACACAACTCTACAAATGGAAATGTAATGCCTCAGAAGACAGGGTCACCCTTACTCCTTATTAATGATGAGGATATCCCCTATCGATGGTGAACAATCCTTGCCCCTACTACAACCTGGGAATTCTGAGTCAGAATGCGTCCCTAGTACCCTCGTCAGCCGAGTCAGGATCGGGTGATTAGTAAGGGAGTGAGTGAGTTGTGTTTAACTCCGCTTTTAACAGTATCAAAGTTAAATAGCGCCGGGTTAGCGCAATTCGGGAGGAAAGCCCATGGTGATAAAGGTCTCAGACGATTTGGTAAAACCAACCAGCGCTGGTATGGCGCTGACAAACCTAGAGACGGTGCGAACCGGGATTCGAACCCACAATCATAAGTTTCTGGCGTGCCCAAGGGACGCAACCTTGGACAGCGAATTGCGATCGGATGATTAAGATGTTTCACGTGACTGATTGTGTTTCATTGCTTTCGGGGATAGCAGTGTGTGAGGGGGGGGGGGGGGGGATAGAAGTCACAGCGTTCACACATCACACAGAAGACCCCGGTTCGGTTCCACACATGAGTGCAATGTGTTAAACCAATTTCTAGTGACCCCAACGTTATTTTGCTGGATCGCCAAAAACGGCGTTAAACTTGTTTTCCGTATTTAAGTAGGAATACTACTGTCATAGGTTTCAAATCACTCGCCAGCTTGGTGGTGTATTCAGCTAACCCGTTGCGATATATTGTATTTGACAAGTTGTACCGCGCGAATGCATCTTCTGTGGATGCAGGGAGCACTTGTCAACGCGTAGACGCGTACCTTGCACCTCCAAGTTTAACGCCAGTTGTTTAGTCCCGAACGTAAGGACAGCCCGAAGTAGCTGCCGACGGCTGTCTGAACCCACACTCCTGTAACACAAACAAACAATATGATGATGTGTATTTTGAACGCTACTTTTAACAATCATTTAGGGATCAATGATTGGGCAGTTGTTTAAAACTGTTCGCTCTACGTTTTCACTCACAAAATGCCTCTTCCCTCATATGTGTATGTTTATATCGCGACCCTCGACCATCTTCCCGAGGCAAGGGAGTTAACTGACTTTAAAAGTCAAGTTTCAACCCTTGCTAAACTAAGCTGGAATTTCTGGACTCGATTGTAATCCACCAGTGGCTATAACGAGTTATGTCCCTTCTATGTCCCCACTACTGACCAATCAGATTCCACCTCTCATAACTCTTGCACTTGCTTCAAACTTAATGTCGGCCCCCAGTCAAAACTATTTTATCGATAATAAAGATCATCTATTGTAATAAAATGGCTTTTACCATTTGCATTAAATCCCTTCAGCACCTGGACCATAAACAAGAAGAGAATTGGAAATTATGTGTCGACAGACTTGTCATCCCCCATACTCAATAACCCCGCCACCCACCAGAACTAATGGCATCATCTGCTTATTCGCCATGGCGTGCGGCCAACTGTTGTTGCATGTTGACCTTTGATCGTAATTCCGCCACGTTGCTCATGCATTTAGTGGTCAAAGGGCGACAACTCATCACCACTAATTCCGCATATTGTCCATTACTGTTGTTTCAATTCGCCCTGATAATGTATAATTTATAAAGGTTCTGGATTCCCATTGGTCCTGTAATGTCAATTCACTCACCTCATTTTGCTGTACATCTCCCTACTGATGAGGGATTGTTTGGACGACGTACTGAGGAGTGCTTTAACATCGACGTCCGAAACCTGCATGACATAAAAAAAACCATTCTTTTTTGTTTCTCATGTTATTTAAAAAAATAGATACATGGTAGGTAGGTTGCATTTCAATTTTATTTTCCTAACACTCCAACATAACATTAAATATTATGATATTCACAATAAAACTTGATAAAATCGATGACGTAAAGAAGTAGAGAGTTTTTTTGTTTGTTTTTTGTTTGTTTTGTTTTTGTTGTTGTTGTTGTTGTTGTTGTTGTTGTTGTTTTTTGGGGGGTCTTTGTTGTCTGTAAATACGTGAGTTTTGACCAGACAATCCAGTGATTGAGATTATCATCATCGATCTATGCAGTTCATTTGGATACGATGACATGCTTCAACCAAGTCAGCGAGCCAGACCACCCGATCCCATCAGTCGCTTCTTACAACAAGCATAGTTGCCTTTTACGGCAAACATGGGTTGCTGAAGTCCTTTTTAACCCGAGAGAGTATGTAATGAGATCTTCATTAGTAAATAAATCACGACCGCCATTACTGATAATCATGACGGGTAACATAATAAACGGGAAACTCTAAAAAGAAAGATCCGTAACATAATTTAGTGTGGAAAAATATATTAATCATAAGGGTCTGTCGACTATAAGAAAATAATGTTTTCCTTCTTTACATGGTCAAAAATTAAATTGAATTTAAAACTTTGAAACGTTGTTCCGCATATGGCGAATTATCTTTTCAAAGGTTTAACTTAAGTAGCGTTGGTATCAGGAGATTTATTGCCGACTGCGGCGTTAAACACCATTCAATCACCCAAGTAGTGTAATGGTTTTGGTTGGTTGGTTGGTTGGTTGGTTGTTTTACGCCGCACTCCGCAATATTCCAGCTATATGACGGCGGTTTGTAAATAATCGAGTCTGGACCAGACAATCCATTGATTGATATCATGAGCATCGATCCACGCATTTGGGATCGATGACATGTTTCAACCAAGTCAGCGAGCATGACCACCCGATCCCGTTAGTCGCCTTTTACGACAAGCACAGTCGTCTTTTACGGCAAGCATGGGTTGCTGAAGACCTATTCTACCCCGGATCTTCACGGGTCAGTATTGTAATGAGCATGCAACGGAGTGTTAGTTCCATGGTACAGGTCGAATGGTAATTATTTTTAAGTTTATTTTACCAATTACGACGCCGCTGTTCAGTACAGCGTATTGTAACCAACACTGTCCTGATATAACCAACTTTGGGCGCCAGTGAGTTTGGTGAACGCCGTTTTGACAGGTATTTTGGTCACGGCGTGTCAGCTTAATGTGGGAGGAAAGCCCGAAGTGATGCAGGTCTCAGACGTTTACCACTTCAGTGAAAACCAACCCGTATGGTGCTGACAAACTTCCTCGGGGCGAACCGGGACCCTGATCACGTGATCTGTTACGTAACTAAGGCAACAGCAGTTTCTAAAACGACTGACCCGGCTGTGACACCAGCACCACCACACACACACACACACACACACACACACACACGCACGCACGCACGCACGCACACACACACATAGAGAGAGAGACATAGAGAGAGAGACACACACATACACACACAGACACACACACACTCACACGCACGCACACACATACACATACAAACAGACAAACACACACACACAGACACACATACACACACACACACAGAGAGAGAGACACACACACATACACATACACGCACACACACACACACACACACACACACACACAAAACACTCACACTCACACTCACACGCACGCACGCACGCACACATACACACACACCAGTAACTTCTTGATAAAGTATCAAATGTTTTTAAAAGATCGTTCAAAATTCAAATCTTATGACACTTCTTAAATGACATGATTGTGCTTCAAGCGCTGTTCTTATATTATGAGCCGCACATTTCGTGCAGAGGTGTATAAACTTCGGTTTCCGAATTTTGCCGGATTATTCCGAATTATAACAAACGTGGAATAACACCCTAAGCACTTCATTTTCACTCGTGTCTTTCCGCGAGGGAGCTAGTTTTCCGAGCTTGCTGGAAAAGGGTTACGGCAAGATAAATATCATAAAAGAGTGAAATTGGTTATTCTGATTCTGTAAGAAAATAGTAAGATGACGCCTCCAGCTATATGTGATGCAGATGCCGGTGAAACTGTTCCGGTCAGCAGCCGCATCTCGCTTGGTTGAGTGACACACATTATATAGATGTATCTCAGTTTCTGAACAGGTGAGTGAGTGAGTATGGTTTTACGCCGCTTTTAGCAATATTCCAGCAATATCACAGCTGGGGACACCAGAAATGGGCTTCACACATTGTACCCATGTCGGGAATCGAACCCGGGTCTTCGGCGTGACGAGCGAACGCTTTATCCACTAGGCTACCCGACCGCCCAGTTTCTGAACAATGGTACCTTGAGGCGCCAGAATACATTGTAACCTCCGAATCCAAACTATGGTTCACTGGAAGCCATCATTGACATTCAACAACCATTTGCTGCAGATCCCTTTTGAAATGTCAAATGTCACACTAAGACGACTTGATTTGTTTAACATCAATGGAAATGTCAGACGTTAATTCCTTTGTACGATTTCTGTGTTGGTGAAAGGACAATTTGAGAAGACCCTTCAAGTGTCATTGGTATTCACCAAAACAGCTTAAAAAGTCCCGTCAGCTTCCTGTTTTAGCTTCAATGCTTTGAATCCATTGTTACATTTTGGGCTAGTTGGACATTTTTTTTAAAAAGAAAATCAGAAAGAACACAAAATTCGGAAAAACATAACCAATCTCAAATAATACAAGGGTTTTCGGGAAATTAAAAAAAATCACCTGCTGTAACGAATGTGAAGTGGTGGGGTGTTACTGCTACATCATGTTCGGAACCGACTTTGTTCTAGGTTTGCCAGCACCATACTCATTTTCGAGAGTATCACCACAGAGCAGACACAGACTGTCTGCATCCCGCCAGGCTCGCTTCCCACATCAAATGAGTGAGTGAGTGAGTTGGGTTTAAAGCCGCTTTTAACAGTATTCCAGTTATATCGCGGCGTGTCAGCTTAATGAGGGAGGAAAGCCCGAAGTGATGCAGGTCTCAGACGTTTACCATTTCGGTGAAACCCACGAGCATGGTGAGTGAGTGAGTGAGTTGGGTTTAACGCCGCTTTTAACAATATTCCAGTTATATCACGGCGTGTCAGCTTAATGTGGGAGGAAAGCCTGAAGTGCTGACAAACCTAGAAACATAATCGGTGCGAACAGGGATTCGAACCGACAATCATAGGTTTCTGGCGTGTCCAAGGGACGCAACTCTGCACAGTGTTTGGGCCATCCGTGCCCAGTCTTTCAAAGAAAATGAAGAACATCCGATTTTTATGTAACCATAGTTAATCTGTCATGACATATTAACTACAGTAAACTACGGTTATAACGAACACGCTTATAACGAACTGACGGATATAACGAACTTACTTTTTGGTCCCGACTGTTTGCTGTAGTTATGCTGTATATATGCTTATAACGAACTACGGTTATAACGAACTAAAATTAGTAGTCCCTTTGAGTTCGTTATAACCGTAGTTGACTGTATAGTAATATGAAAGAATCGAGTGGTCCTTAACTTCTTTTGGGTAGTATATTATACTGGCTTTTACGAAACCTTTTCATCCGTACTGTTAGGTGAATGTAATTGTGTAAGGTAGAGTTGATGGCACCCAATGACAAAATCGCTCGGAAAGTGAGGGTTTCGGAATAACCAGGTTCCACTTAATAAAGGTTTTACCTTACAGTTGACAAAGGGAAGTGGAATCTTGCTATCGTATGATCCAATGACGTCATCGAAATCCGATTCACCACTAAGACGTCGTCTTGTACCACGAGACCTGGGAGATTCCAACGATACTGCAGTCGCACCCAGTTGATCCTTGTAATAATAATAATAATGATGATGATGATGCTGATGATGATGATGATGGGGTGAGATGAGGCGAGGTACTGGAGTGAAAAGGGGTTTAACGTCGCGTTCAACATATAGCGACGTGTGTGTGTGTGTGCGTGTATGTGTGCGCGCGCTTGTACTAGTCCGGACGTATGCCGATTTTATTATGCTAGCCCATGCCGCAGTTTAACATGAATATCCCACTCAGAATAAGTTATTAATCACCGCAAAACATTGAACCCAAGCTCAAATCAATAAAATTCAAAATGGTTTTCATCTTAATAGAATCAAGATAATACATGCCATAATCGAGGATGAATAGTCGTATTATGATCAATATACGTCTTGAAAATAAATACTGTTTTCAAACATGCTATATACGTATATTTTACTATATTTGATTAAATTTTATAACCAATCAAGTTACATAAAATAATCGGACTTTTTTACGTCAAGCCATCATTTAGATTGTCGTCTCCATCCATCACTGCTTCTTATTTTGAAACAAATGTCAGTCACCTGAGTAAGTGAACTGTATGGCTAAAACACTGCATTAGTAAATATACAGTTTTTCGTTGCCGTGGTGACATGTTTGAAAACGGATACGTTTAGGAATTAATTCTGATGAAAACATATGTCCCAAGGGGATTATTAACGAAAACAGAAATTTACGTCTGTTTCCGTCGTTTCTTCAGTTGATGTTGAATTCTTTGGGTTGAAAAGAGTTGTCTCCCCTGAGCGTCCTGTTTTCGGTCGCCTCTGCTGTCGCAAAGCAGCCAATTTCACAATGTCCTCAGTCATCGGAAGCTATGAAATAGTTGCAGGGATATCGTTAAAATGTATTAAAGGAAAATTAGATAGTATGTCTATATTTCCATCTATCTACATTCTGTGAGTGGTATTCATAATCTCCAGTGTTTTTTCATACTAATGAATTAATCGTCTTGTCGAATATACTGTATCAAATTTCTCAAAGAGCGTTTTATATATCTATATATCTATATATATATTGTGGAGCTACAACGTCATCAAAAACAAAACGCGTCAGACATGTATATGTAATAATGAAGCGATTTACTATGAAAACATTTATCACTAAATCATTAACACATGTATCACATTACCATGACGATCGTGTAGCCATCAAGATGAAGCATCCGTTAAATACTATATAACGGGACTGCACCCTACGCCAAAATCAATTCACATTACATATACGCTGCATAACGAGCATCGAATATTTTGTAAAAAGAAGCCATACCTGGTTTTAGCTCCTTTGATGTTTCACGTCCCTCACCTGTCTATAAAACAAAGCCCCTGATTGGCTGACGTTGTCAGTTAAATGTAAGAACCGAAGATGCGATGCATTTGTTATTCGCCTCCCATCTCGGAGCTTGAGTCAAAATCAATAACCAGAAGCGCGGGTATGTCAGTTTTATCCGACCTGATTACCCGTCGTGGAATACCTGTCTCTAAAATGTCAACGCGACCCCGAACAGAATGTCGATATCATACCCAATGAACGCAGACCTAACCGAAGAACAGGACAATCCAGTTCAATTCCTACTGACGTGAGAGAGTGAGTCAGTCGGACGCGCGGACCTCGGAGGAGACAGTTTTAGACTGAGAATTCAATAATATTTCTTATATGTTGTTGATACTGACTGGTCGCTAGGCAACCTTTTCCGTGTGAACTTACACGTATCTATAACGGGTATCTATAATTAACGAATTCGATATTGCTACGAAATACAGAAAACGGTCTGTTTTGTTTCTACCAATTCTCGATGTCAAGAATCAACGTCACGGGCCGAATATATTTAACTGACCGCTTCTTCATTATCGCTGATATCTATATCGATTTGACATAAAGTCAAAGGTGTTGAGCGAATATGTTTACAGGTTTCCATGGCAACGTGTTATCGACTTGGCAATGCGGACGTAATCATGTCTTGTTCATTAAGCGTCTATTACTAATTCATACAAGTTGGTTACCGCAAGTGTGCGTCCGTAGCTATTCCTACAAACGCAAGGGAACCAGCCATCAACTGTTATGGGCCTCGTATAAAAGGCATTGATTTTGAACAAAATTCAAACAAATATCCTCACGACATTGATCCTGTTTTTAAAGATACATCATGACGATAGTATTGATCTGTATTTGTTGCTCTCGCGTGTATCTCGCATGCGTTGCTACACGGGTAGCCCAGTCATCTAAGGCGCCGCAGTTAACTGTACCCAGTCACGTTCCTTAAACAGAAACTGAACACGTGATCGTAGGTTCGAATCCCTGTTCGCCCTGATTATTTTTTCTAGATTTGTCAGCACCATACCCGTGATAAACGTCTCAGACCTGCAACACTTTGGACTATCCTCCCACATCAAGCTGACACGCTGACATCTGAAATTGATATCACTGCTGGTAGATATTGACGCATTGGACGATGCCAATGATTTTAGAGGTAGTCCAAAAACACAACAGGCAGCCACGTGAACGATACTGCTACAGGCGACAACACAACTCTCACACGAGGACGGCCACTGTCGTAATTGCACCTGGCTGCATTTTAGAATACGGTTAGTTTTTACTGAATCAACTGTTTGATTGGCATTCTAGCAGTTGGTGAGTGAGTAAGAAAACGTACAACTTTTTGGATAACAACTTCTGGTTTATTGTATATAGCGACGTTTCGATGTAGATAAGCAGCAGATTATCATTGACAACAACAAGAAATAGATAACAAGTACCATACTGTTTTTATCAGGATCCAGTCAGCTTGGTTGTTGTCGCTCCAGCTTGTTAAGAATCTTCATTGAAATGTAGCTAAATGCAATAAAGCAGAAGTTGTTATCCATAAAGTTGTACGTTTTCTTATTTACTGAATCGGGGGCACGGGTGGCCCAGTCGTCTAAGGCGCCGCGATTTGCTGTGCAGAGTTGCGTCCCTTGGGCGCGCCAGAAACCTATGATTGTGGGTTCGAATCTCGGTTCGCCCCGATTATGTTTCTAGGTTTGTCAGCACAATACCCGTGCTCGTGGGTTTCACCGAAGTGGTAAACGTCTGAGACCTACATCACTTCGGGCTTTCCTCCCACATAAAGCTGACTCGCCGTGATATAACTGGAATACTGTTAAAAGCGGCGTTAAACCCAACTCACTCACACTATTTACTGAATCAGTCAATTAATGTGATTGTTCTGGAAAACAAATGTCATTTAAACGTAAGCAATGCGGATTCATACAGTTTGCACATTGTCTTTTCGATTCGTTCCTTAATGAACCGAAAACAATCCACAGTCAATCCTTAAATAAACCACGCTTCGTTCTTCAATGTTCTTTGCGAGTTGTCGCGTAGCTATCTTATATGGTCAGTTATGATAAGGTATCAAGTGAGTGAGTGAGCGTGGTTTAACGCCAAATCAAGCTTTTATCAACGGCAATTGAGCTCACGATCCAAGGATCCTGGAACGACTAAGGGACGCAACTCAGAACAGCGATTTGCTTGTTTGTTGCACTCAACAACATTCTAACTATATGAAGGCGGCCTGTTTAATCGAGTATAGACCAGACAATCCAGTGATTAACCTCAATGGCATCGATCTGCGGAATCGGAATACAATGAAATGCATCAACCAAGTCAGCGAGCCTGACCACCCGATCATGTTAGTCGCCTCCTACGACAAGCTTAGTCGCCTCTTATGACAAGCATGGGTGCCTAAGACCAACTCTAACCCATATCTTCACGGGAGAGCGACTAGGAACACGCGCAAACCTTGTATTGTGTACTGCTTATGCTGATAATAACAATAAATACTTCATAGACAGACGTTCAAATGTGTTTATTCAATCATTTTACATGTGATTTTTATATGTTGAACCTAATTCGATCTGTTTTGCCCCGGTTTGCAGGCATTACTTTATCTTTTCTGAAAGACAAGGGATAAAAGTGTTAATTTTGTGTAATGAACCCCTAAATGAGTCAGTCATAGTGAACAGACGTACAATCGGTATGAAGTGTTTGAGTTGCCTTTAACGTCACTTGTACTTTAAGCAGTATTTCAGTTATAGTGTATTGATGTGGGAGGAAAGCCCGAAGAGTAAACAAAAATAATCGTTTGCCACTTATTATTTACAACAACAACAACAATAATAATAATAATAACAAAAATAATAATAACAATAATAATGACATTTATATAGCGCTGAAATCCACATCACTAAGGGACATGCTCAAAGCGCGAAAAGCATATAATATATCATTATACATACATGTATATACAAGAAGACAATGTCACTGGGACTAGCGATGGAAAAGAGAAGTTTTAAGTCCGGATTTGAAAGACTGGAGAGTTTGTATTGATTTCAGTGTGAAAAGGAGACCGTTCCACACACAAGCGACATCAACACACAAAGATCCGTTATAATAATTAGTGAGCAAATATTGTTTTACACTGCAGTCAGCAATATTCTAGTTTATCATTGCGGTTCGTAAATATTCGACTCTTGGTCATTCAAACAAGTGATTGACAGCATGAGCAAGTAAATATACACGCCATCACGATAACAATCAATATGCGAGGACACTGTGTTGACCACCCCATCCCCAACCCCGTCAGCCTGTAATGCTATACAGCCCTAAATAAAGCAAGTCTAGATTTTCCACAGGTTCAGGATCTGAATCCCACATCTTACTGGGGCTCCTATTCAATTTAAATGTAGTTGCTTGTTTCCTTCAAAATTAAATATATTTCAAAGCGTTAGTCTACAGTATGGGGTATAATGGGCCTGCTCAGTCCGAAATCCCCATGGAGGAACGTTTCTCTTCAAGAATCTCCAAGAATGTCCAAAACTTACGTCCGCAGTTGACAGTGGATGCTGGTCCCCCTGGTGTTGGGGATCTCTTGTCCCGCCCTGACCTCCACACACCAGCACTCCCCCACACACCCGTCACATTGCCTGGGGGTGAAGTTCCCTAGTGGTAGAACGGCAACAAATATCATTAAGGTGTTAAACACATCTGTTTTCACACCCGATGGCGTACCCGGTCTTTTCAAGTAAACTGCCCAGAACAAAACAATTATACCCTGGAAAACTAGATTTGACCAAACATTTTTAAACATTATCAAAATGTTACCAGGTTGAGAACTTACACTGCAAAGTTGAGGTCCAAAGCACAAATGTGATACCCATATTAAAACACATCTCCATTGAATAACCAATTCGTCTTCTTTTCTTATTTTTAGCCATCGTCAAATGTGGGTGGATACGTTCTTTGCCCCGCAATTTGTTAAACTTTCCGCGCATCAAACACTCAAACCTCAAAACACATTATGTTATGGTTATGTTATCAGCATTGTGATCGGGGCGGTGGGGTAGCCTAGTGGCTAAAGCGTTCTCTCGTCACGCTGAAGACCCGGGTTCGATTCCCCACATGGGTACAATGTGTGAAACCTGTGTCTCTTGTCCCCGTCGTGATATTGATGGAATATTGCTAAAATCGCCGTAAAACCATACTGACTCATTGTTATCAGTATTTATTTTTCAAATTTAGGATAGAGACAAAAGTACCCATCAAAACACGTATTCATAAACGGAATAAGACACTGAATGTAGCCGGGAATTGTCTTCGACAGTGATGACTTCGTTATATCCAGCCTCGTATTACCCGAACTGAACACTGAGACCTTATTATGGTACTCGTCACTGTACAAAAAAATATATCATCAGAAAAAAAATAATCATTTTTCTGAAACACCAGTTTTTTGTCTGAAACGTCATCTCGCCGTGTCTAACCACCTGAGGTGCACCCCGGCTTGGCATGTGTTCTGCCCGTTGACACCAGTGGTGTGATTAGAATACTGGAGATCGTGGAAGGCCCTCAGAGACTTGAGGCAGACGCTCTTCTGCAGTTGTAGGGCTGCAATGCAGATAACAAGATTATCTCCAGGAACCTCGTGCAAGTAAGCAAATTAAAGACATGCTTTAAAATACCATCGCATTTTTCTGACGTATTAACGCTAATCCGTCAAAGGGCGTTTCGTACACTGTTGGCTATTTCCAGAAATTTTCCAGAAATTGGCCTCACACATGGAACCCAGACCTGGGCGTGACGAGTGAGTGCTTTAACCAGTAGGCTACCCCACCGCAATCTTTTACACTTTTTTACTGAAATTTAATTAATTTGTTGATTGAAATGTAACATAAAGCATGTGTGGGTATGTGACATATTACGTTTATTCCACGACTTTTACATGGGTGTTGTTTTACGTCGCAACGATATTCCAGTTGTATCACGGCGGCCGGTAATAACCCTCAGATCAGGGCAGAAATAAGCACCAGTCCCTGCTGTCGGGGTTCTATGTCACACAATCAGCCAGCATCCCCTTCTTATCATCTCGGACGACTTGGGCGGGGTACCAGGGATCTACGCTGGGTTATTTGTTCACTTCTTGCGTAGATCGATGCTCATGACGTTAATCGGGGGCACGGGTGGCCCAGTCGTCTAAGGCGCCGCGATCCGCTGTGCAGAGTTGCGTCCCTTGGGCACGCCAGAAACCTATGGTTGTGGGTGCGAATCCCGGTTCGCCCCGATTATGTTTCGAGGTTTGGCAGCACCATAACCGTGCTCGTAGGTTTCACCGAAGTGGTAAACGTCTGAGACCTGCTTCACTTCGGGCTTTCCACCCACATTAAGCCGACA